TGGTCTGGTTCTTCTGTGTGAAGGGGATCAGGGACACACAGTGTGGATTCAAGCTTTTCACAAGAGAGGCTGCCTTAAGGACTTTTTCTAGCCTCCATGTGGAGCGCTGGTAGGTATTTCACAGTGCGGATATTCACTGAAAGTATAAAAGAATTCAGGTATTTTCCAAAGCACAGATGATTTATTAAAAAGAGACCAATATTACTGCCAGTTTCTTATTAAGCTGGGATGTGAAACACCATGTCTTACACAGCCGATGTAGTTCTGTAGTGATGTTTTATGTATTGCCAGTAAACTGGCTCGCTGCTTTCAAAGCAGTGTGACTGTTTCATTGAGAGAGATCGTCTGTACTGACTCAGCAGGAGAGGCATCCCAGGAAGAGTTTTGTGTTACGTAAGGTCAGAACATTGGGGGAAAAAAACCTGACCACCAAGCCTTAGCAGGGTTTTAATTTATCAGCCTTGCGAAAATATGCCCCGATGTGTAAGGGCTCATGTTCCACAGAGCATTTTCTGCATAGTGACCATGCTTTGTAAGGGCTGACAATGAGCATATGAGGGGCAATGCCAACAGTGGTGTGGCCCCGCTAATTCAATCTTTTGCATTCCAGTTTTAGAGTATAATATAACATCTCTACAGGAGGATAATTCAACTTCTGTTTGAATATACAGTAGCTATGAAGAACTTAACTCTAACTTCTCAGCCTAAAAAAAGACTCCCAAGATGTATAGCAAGCTGCACTGACATCAAAAGAGTGTGGTTCATTGGTTGATTTGATTTCGATTAGTCCTGCGTCGTGTTTTCATCTGCTGGTTTAAATATTGTAGCTGAAAGTCTCTTCTGCAGACATGAGAAAATACTCCACAGTTATTAGATAAAAAAATGTTTTTGGGTCCCTGTATCTGCCGAAATGGATTGTCCAAAATAATACATAAATGGAATGACTCATTTTAATAAATGTTTTATTTAGGGCATTTGATGTGGAGCTTCTCCACATAGCCCAGTGCTTGAAGATACCTATAGCAGAAGTTGCCGTTAATTGGACAGAAATTGAAGGTGGGTACATGCGTAAGAGAAAATGTGAACATAACAGTCTGTTATACCCTTCATAAAGATGATGAATGATAAATAACTGGAGATAGCCTTCATATTGAAATAAAACATATTCTATGTGCATAAATAAAACATATTTAAATTGCAAGCAATGCTTTACTTTCAGTAAGCAATCTCAGGTCCTACAGGTTGTCTTCTGTTATTTTCACTTCACTTATCTCTACCTGGGGTATACAGTAGCTTTTAGTTTTTGCATGAAACTTTTACATTATGAGACTTAAGGAATAATCACATGTTTCTAATATCATTTTCACAATTGGTTGTAAAGCATCATGCATGCAGTTATATCATGGTGATGTTGAAGGTGGTGTGATACTATTATGTAACCCCAGTCAAGTAAATCACACTTTTCTAATGTTTAGTGAAATCCATTAATATGTGTATATCGTCGGGCTCTGTTACATGTGGTAAAAATTAAAAGGATGCTAAAATGTTCATTTCCATATGTAAATATGAGGAGAACCGCTTGGATTCAGTTTCTGAAGGGGCATGACCGTTCTGTTGTAAAAGCTGAAGAGATTGTTAATGGAGTCTTTATTTTTTTCATTAATGAGGCCTTCATTGATGAGGTCTTCAAAGTCACATTTTTTTACTTTATCATTTTAATTAGTTTTTTAAAAAGTATTTAATACACTGGATCATGCATTCATGTATCTAAAATAAAGCAATTATTTAAGTCTGTTATGACTATAAATCTTCTGTAAATTTTCAATATAAAATTCTTAGTTTTATAGGTTTCAGGCAAACAATTTGTAATCAGGAGAGTTATTGCGATACAATGTTTTATAACCTTAGGATCTTGATTAGGGAAGAGTAGTACCATTCAATTACCTTTAGTAATTAGCCAAGCTAATATTTCTTCATATGAAGCTGTTTAATCTATGAAGACTTAATGGTCTTCTGATTATACTTTAGGTCTCTGTCATCATGTGTTAAAGATTTCAGTTTGTATCTTTTACTGTCTTATTCATTTTCATTTTATTTTTGTTCCAGGATCTAAACTGGTCCCTTTTTGGAGCTGGTTGCAAATGGGAAAGGACCTGATTTTTATCAGACTGAGATACATCACTGGTGCCTGGAAGCTGGAGCCCCCAAGAAAAGTGGATTAACGCTACTCTTAGTCAAATGAGATTCACATGCAGAAACTTGGTTTTTCCAAGCATCTGATACAAACATTAAAACTAGTTTTAATCAAATCATTCTTTAATATCTGTTACCTTTTTTATACTGTCAAAGAGATGCATAAATAAATGGATGAATACAATTATTAGGGGGTCCTTTTAAGTGATTTGCATCAGGTGAAGCCCACTTGCTGTTTTCAGAATGGTTTTGGTTATATGGCTTTTTTTCTGTTGACTGAAAACACTGGACGACTTGAACCAAATAAAAAGTCTGAAAATGAAATAAGTGCTTTTTTCGTAGTAGTGTATGTGTTAAGACAGCTGTTAAATGATTATTATTAAAATGTTGGCACTGTTGTTTCACTAAGTTGAATGCTTTAGTTAGTCCTGGCTGGCATAAAAACTTGAGAACCAATTTCTCTTGGGAGATTCTTGGGAGTTGTGATAAGTAGACTCATTTTATTGACTCTGTGGAGAAGGTCAATGCCCAGTGCTTTCAAAGTAACAAATATTGAAGTTTGTTAAAAGTTGCTAATCTGTTATATAAAAAAGACTGAAAATATCAGTTAATATAACTTAAATTAGTGTTGTGAAAAACCCATTTCCTATGCTCTTTTTTGTCCTTTTTCTGATCGATTTATCAGAGCACTGCATGAGCTTGGGTAATGCAGTTATATTTCTGTGTAATATTTATAGAAAATAACTTGTATTTTTGTTGATTGTGATGTCTGATCAGTATGAACATTTCATTTTTCTGCTCATATACCTCTGAAAACATGTCCATTTTGTCAGTAATAACACAAATAAGGAGATCGTTCATGATTTAAATAAGACACCTCCCCTAATAAATTCATACTATAGACCTCTGTAGACTTTGCTATTAATATTATGTTATTTAAACCTGTGCAGTAAGAAGATATACATGGAAAATAACTTTTTTTGTAAAAACAGATGATGCACAGCCTGCAGTGATAATTTAGAAATAAAGTACAAATAGTTTGATACAGGTGGTCGTATTTGAACACAATAGGTTATCTATCAGGGATGAAACTTCCAATTTCTATGATCACGCACCGATCCCTGATGAGATACTGATTCACAAAGGTGGTGTTTGATAGATGGCAATCTGGATGGAATGCGTTAAGGATGTCTTTTGTCTGTAGTTTGCATTAAAGTGTCCCGAACTACTGTTGGATTTCACAGCTACTTTGGATTATATCATGAAATGTATCTTGTGTTTCACTTTTGCATTCAGAGGTCTCTGTTATTATTTTTGGAGGTCATCTCCACACCAACACCCGTGGATAAAAAAGGAGGTTTGTAAGAAAAGAGCAACATTTCCCAAACAGAAAACAGGTGGGTTTCCTGCAAGCAAAAGTTTTGTTTGTCATTGTGCTTTCTGTAGATCAGTGGTTGGCAGCATAATATAAGTCATGGAGCTCTTCATTTCATAGTTCTCAAAAGTAAATTAAGACATTGAAACAAAATCTTTAGAATACTGAGAATAAGGCAGATTTTCCATACACTTATTAGCTTTGTTTTTGCATTTGTGTCCACTATCAGCTTTATAAAAACTGTAAATGTTGATGTCAGGTTGAAAGTTAATCAAATTTAGGAGCAAGTCCTTGATGATCAAGAAATATTGACAGGGGGGGTTAACCGTTGCTAGAATAATTTATATTATACATACAATATTATATATACAATACATAATATCTAAAAATATAAATGTACACTAAATTACAATGGATGTTCAAGACATACACTAAATGCATTGTGAGGGAATGACTGTGTCTCTTTGGTTTTATAAACCCACTGGGGAGTCTTGGTCATGAAGTATTGGTGAATCGATGAAAGGAAAACGGTTAGTAATGTTGCTTGTTTGATTCCTTTGTTCATTGCAGTTTACTTTTTCTTGTTGTGCAATTTAGTGGTTTGTCAGTAAATAAAAATACATAATCTGGATGTTTTCGTGGGTTTGGTTGCTCCCCCAGGAGTATATCCTGTTTGCCATGTGTCTGATGGCCAGCTTTGCTTTCCCTTTTTTCTTCCTTTCAGTCGTTTGATTTATGCGATGCTTAGCTTAGAATCCTATGTCTATTTTAGTTAGAATTTCAGATTTTATGGAAGACAGATCATTAAAGATTTTGCGTTTTGCTTCTACAACTAAAGCTTGGAGATCAACAGGTATAAGCTGTCTTCTGGTTTTACGGCCCTTGGCTTTATTCTGATATCTTAGTTTGATTTGAACCAATCGCATTTTAATAAACTCACGTTTGCCAGCACCTTTTCAGTAACGCATGGGGACATCTTTGACTCAGCAGGCTTAAAAGCAGATACTTCTGGACAAAGGGGCGATGTGACTGGAGGTTAGAGATGACTGCACTGTACATCTAATGTATTGTTACGTTGCATTGCAGTTGCTGTAAACTGTGAAAATGTCAAACTCCTAGACTTTCTGTCGCCAGCCAGGCTTGCGTCATTAACTGGACTAGTCACAACACTTACAATCGAAACGTATCCATCCGCAATGAAGAGACCGTACAAATCTAGATCGATAAATCTGCCCAGTGTTTTAATAAAGAAGTATTGCGCTTATGTTCTGGCGAAGGATGTCTTGCCGAAGTAGTATTCATGTCAGATATACGGATATCAGACAGCAGTCGCCTTTTACGAAAATGTTAAGATTCAGCAATTCTGAGGGGGTTTTGTTACCTAAAATGCGCTCAGAGTCAAATTGGTTTATTGCAAGTTAAATTACCATTTAAAAAACAAGTAATAAGTAATTAAACATTATTTAAGTAGTTATTGTTTATAACATTCTGATTTCATAGAAAAATAAAGCACCATCAGTTTTATTAACGTGTATAATAATGAATAACGTGATTTTACATAAAATAGAGGTTCCCATATTAGCCTACCTAAATAACAATAATTATAAATCTCACTTTTAAGAACTGTATTAAGAACTGTGTACCCTGACGTGAGACACCCCAGTGTCTTCTTTGCTGTCAGATAATGAGGTATTGCCTTGTCTCGATGGCAGGATTAAAGGATCACTTGCAAATTGTTAAGAGTTTAAAGTTAATCCATAAAATACAGGACATCATTTTAAAAACCGCTTGAATCCGACTCTAATTTGTTGGGTTATCAACGTGTGTTCCGGAATTGTGATCGTGTTCAAAGGTTAAAGTTACATTTTGTTGTTATTTAGCGATTGTCTCTTTCTTTTAGTAATTACAATGCTGGGCTGGGAGACCTTTCGTTGCTTTTTAATAACTGGCATGCACATCGTGCAGCAGGTGCGCCAGTCGTTTTGTTTTTGGAGGGTTTTTGCGATTCAAAGTTGAAGAAAGTTTACAACAGCGTCGCACATTAAGAATTCCCTTCCCTCCAGAAGCAGATAATAGTAATTGGTAGAGACTCCTGGTTCATCCTCTCGGACGGCGGCGTTTCAGTGATCCTGGGAAAGTTCCAGCGCTGCGGATGAATTCTGCACAAAGGCACTGAGGCTCCAGCCTGACTGACGCCGGGGCTGCGCTGTTGCTTCTGCTCCTGGTAATATGCGCTCCACACCTCCAGAGCGCAAGCGGCAGAGGGTTACCCAAAACTGTTATTAAAGTGTCCGCTGATGAGAAGGTAAGAAGCGAAGCATGGTGTGCATTGTCCCGTGTTCTAGCATCACGCTCGCTGCTCTGTATTTTATCTTATTGCACAGGTAAACGGTGATGCATCAATTTGCTTTCTAATTAAACCTCTGGTTTTTAAACGGGGGTATTGGCTCTAACTTGATGCCACTCAAACAATGAGAAACAAAACTAACAGTACGGGGATCAGCTTAAATTTCCTAATAGTTTGTCTTGAAACCCATAGATGCTAGGATCTGAATATCTATCAGGTGTATAAAAGTCTATTGACGGAATGCGAGCATGTGAATTATAATTGAAATATTTTGCTGTGGTGTTTTTTTTTCTTCAGGACAATCTAGTTTAAGTGTTGAGACAAATGCTTGTACGCAGCGTGTAAGCGTATTGTGGATATTGACAGAATCTACCTGATTCCTGACATTCCAGGTGTTCTGAAACAATTCGAGGTTAAGTCCACGGTGCTGAAAAAAAGTGTGCTCTCGGGTTTGCTAAAGGAAATGCGTGTTTGTTTTGCGGGGATGTCCCGATAATAAAATACAAGGTGATTAAGCGTCTCTGAGTCAGCAGACTGAGTGACGCCAGTTTCATAAAAGAGAAAACGAGAACGTAACCGAAGTATTGATGCATTGAAGTGAACGCCTGTTTTCATTTAGAGCCAACAAAGAAGGAGGGGGTTGTGTTTAGTTCCTTTTTCATTGATATGCAAGTTTACGGGATGCAATGATTGGGAATTACACGGTATACGCTATGCTACATTTGTTTTTATTGTGGTTAAATTTGATTCCGTGCGCGAAAGTTTTGTATAGCGTGTCAAACTGTGGATGTTTTAAAATTGTGTTTCTTTTTGTTACATTTTGCTATTGTCCTCCCTTGCTTTGGTTCTTATGCATCTAATATTGCAAGACTATACAGTTTCAAGCTTTTTCAGATTTTTCGGGGTGACTTTAATGTGACTACTGACATTACTGGCTTTGTGATAATGCAACTTGTTACCTGTCAGTCATTAATACTGTATCAAGGAGTGCTCTGTAAAATATTTTAAAATGTTGGAGAGGTTTGGGCAGTTCGCTTAGATGTTCTGCAACAAATTGCAAAGTAGTTTTTTCTACACTATAGAAGAGAGTGTGGCAGACGAGAAATTGCCCAAGTATTCACTTATATTCAATTACTGTTACCGTTCTATCGTTCGCTTTTTAAACCTTGTTTTAAACACCTGTTTAAATTTTCATGTTAAGTTTCATTTTATTTTTTTATGTTTATTTAGTATTTGCATTCCAGATGTCTTTTAGATGTTGTTGTTTGTCTGGTGTTTTTTCAAGGCTTGTATTTATATGATCTCAATGAAGTCTTGGGGGTGGCATTTTGAGGTAATCCAATCTTTCCACTAGCCTTAATCTTTGAAAATAGTAGCGCCAGCACAGGTACACACTTGGAAATGAAGCTGATGTGGACAATTTGGAATAGCACTCAAACCAGTAATCTCTGGAAATCCTACCTACAATGAGCTAGTTACTCCTGACCGTGATTCTTAATTCTGTAAACCATACACCAACAGTTCCTGCTTTGGTAACCTTGAAACCGTCACTTTTTATAATGTATGTTCCAGGAAACAAGTGTACAAATGTACAGAATCTTCGTCATTTCAAATATATAGCATTTTTTTTTCATTTTCAGCTGTCAATAATTTCAGTCTGCAGATATGTGTCCTCTAGAACATGCTATTGCAGAGTTAGCATTAAAGCTCAGTTTGTAAATGATCGTATTAAATTAGCAGTTAAGTTTGTTTCTGTGTAAATAGTGTGCTTTAGCTATAACTGGCAAGCATTTTTATTGCTGTGGTTGTTATTATTAAGCCATTGAAATAGAAAAACCACAGATTAAATCATAGTGAATCCGGATAGCCCTCACTATACTCCCTTCCATTAAAGATTTTTTTTTTTACATCTGTTCCCAGAGACTTGAGTAGGAAAAGGAAGGCAGTCAAGAATACAAAAAAAAAAACACCTTTTGGACCAGAATTTGCAAACCAAATCCCCAGTCTTGATTAAATCAGAGTGATTCTGGATAGTCATCTCAGTACCAGTTTTCTTTCAGGAGTTTTCTATATCTGGCTCCAAAGACTCTTGATCTTGTGTGCCAGAATTGTCCTGGTTAAATTACACCTTAGGCTTGTATAATCAGGTCTGCCTTTAGCTGGTGACAGAATTTCGTATTTCTTTACCTGATCCGCTCTTTAGTGGGACAGCTGCAAAATGGGTACCACATTCTATTCCTCCATAGGGATCATTTATTCCATTGCCATCTTCTCAGATCATATGGAGTACACTGTGCAGAATAGTTATAATAGTTCCATACATTTATGTAGTGCCTTTCATCCTAAGGGATACCAAGTGTTTAACGCATTGGAGGGTATCTGTATCACACAGCACTGAAGTGCAACATCCATCTAAAAGATGAACAACTGTTTTGTTTCAACTACATAGCACCTTAGGTAGAGAAATTGTTGGAACTCAGTTGAACTAAGGGGGAACTTTAAATTGACCAGGTTGTAGAAACTCCAAGTGGAATTTTTGTGAGTGCGCTGGGGTTAAGATCCTTATGCTTATTAACAAAGCCTTGGATTCTTTCATGGCAAAGTTGAAGCTGAAATCTCAACATCTGTTTTCAGTGTCAACTTGAAAAGATAAGATATAACTTAATTGTCAATCCAAAAGGGTAGAAATTTGTCTTTGCCTTCACCATAAATAACAAAAAACAAATAACCCTCAAGCAAAAATAAATACACCTTAAAAACAAATAATTGTCCTAGACATGCAAAACATACGGTATATATATATACATCTCACTCTGCCCATATTATACTACAATTACACTAATTCAATAACTTTATACAGGAAACAGTCTTTTAGCTGCATTTAATATACTGATTGCACAGGGAACAAAGTATTTCTTGTATATATTTTACTTGGCCATGGGCATTCTAAAACACGTCTCTGAAGGTGGTAGTTGAAAATGTGAATGAGGTACTTAACTACACTGTTTCTTCCCCTTTCTTTTAATTTTTTTTCTGCTTTCAAATTTTCTAAGCCTGCTTCTGAAGTAAAGCAAGGGACATTGACACCTTTATTCCTTAACTTTCTACTCATTTTTTTAAAATGTTTGAATTTTCTTGGAGAACATTCACAACTGGTCTGCTGTTTTTTTTATCCTTGTCATAGGTATGTTTTGAAAAAAGCGTCTGGAGAAGTTTCCAAAAGCCTTTAATAAAATGTAATGTCTCCATTTAACCTTTGATTTCATGTCAGTAAGTCTTTAAAATTTTATACTTAATGTACTCGTTTTTCTGTCTCCACAGATGTGTGAAATAATATCCTGGCATATCACTGCTTAAGAAAAACGAAACATTGAGTCTCATTTTGCTGCTACAGACTAAACATAGCGGTGAGCCTCCAAATACCGCTGAGTCTTCTCTTGAGGTGGCAGTCAAGAGCAGGCCATCGAGACAGCCTCCACACAGTCCCTGGATCAATCCCATCCTCCCCCTGTCCCATGCATTCCACGACGTCCATCACCTCCCTCTTCTCCTTCACCAGCCCTGCCGTGAAACGGCTGCTGGGATGGAAGCAAGGGGACGAGGAGGAGAAATGGGCAGAGAAAGCGGTGGACTCCCTGGTGAAGAAGCTCAAGAAGAAGAAAGGGGCGATGGAGGAGCTGGAGAGGGCCCTGAGCTGCCCCGGCCAGCCCAGCAAGTGCGTGACCATCCCCCGCTCACTGGACGGCAGGCTGCAGGTGTCCCACCGGAAAGGCCTGCCCCACGTCATTTACTGCAGGGTGTGGAGGTGGCCTGATCTGCAGTCCCACCACGAACTGAAGGCCCTGGAGTGCTGCGAGTTCCCGTTCGGCTCCAAGCAAAAGGACATCTGTATCAACCCTTACCACTACCGACGGGTAGAGACTCCAGGTACCGAATGGCTTTTTCCCTGGCTCAGTCATTACACTGGGCTACATCACAGAACCTTAAAAATTCTCCATCCCAGTAACTGTCTCAATTTTCCATAATGTCCTGGAGCAGGGGTAGACAAGACTTCAGAGTCTCCTGGGGTTTGTGGTTTTTGTTCCACCTCCGTGTTATTATGTAATTTAATAAATGTTTCACTTAATTGGACTAACATTTGTACCAAGTCTAAAGCACTGACTCATTGTAAAATTCATTTATAGCTGCAGACTGTGATGAATAGGTCTCTCTTTCGTTTTCCATGTGGCAGATTTCTTGCAGTGCCTTGCTTGAATTTTGGAATGTTTCAGATAATGCTGTAGTTGGCGCAGTCATGGTAGATATTTTTGGATGGTTGCCTTTATTGATCGTTTGTATGGGTGGTTCATTTCGAAACGGGACATTGATATTATCCAGAAGCAGTACTGTGGAGGCAGAAGGCTTTGATGGCTTCATTTGGAGTGAATTGTCTCAAATGCTTGCGAATGGCTCTGAAGTTTAACTATCCCTCCGAGGCAATTATTGACCCACAGTTGTCTTTAGTAGTCGCATAAACCGTTTTATTGAATTGGACGTTTCTTTCATGCAGTTCGTATAAAAGAAAGAAAATGTCATAAAGGATTTGAAATATAATCCATTTTGGAAAAAACGTGCTCTAAATACTTTAAATTACCAGCGTTTTATGATTGAGCCATAAAAAAAGAGAAAAAATGAGAGAGAAAGAAAGAAAGAAAATGTTATATTACTGGTCTTCTTCTAGCCACAGATCTTTCTTATTGACTGTGGCTGCGGGGACATCTGAATATTTTAGCCACAGATTCCTGGCTTTTGCCACATCATTTCAGACTTGTACAATCGTGTCATTCTGGAAACTGTTGAGCCAATCTCTTAAGTGAAAACTGGCAGCTCAGTGTTTTATTTTTCACTTTGTTTTTACACCATCCTTAATATGCCCTTCTGGGCTTCAGCCACCTTCCGTAGCTGCTAACTCATTTTTTTGTCAGCTGCATTATGAGTGGCATTGGTGCAAGAATCGTTGGTTTTCCCGAGTCAGGAGTATCCAGTCTGGGTCCCGGAGGGTCAGTTTGTCTGCAGGTGTTCCAGGTATCATTAGAGCAGCACCTGAAATGCTGAGAGAGGCTGTTCAGATGGTCAGGATAGGTCAGTAACCAGCAGTTTGAATGAAAACCTTAAAACACGCCAGCCCTCCCAGACCAGGATTGGACACCAAGTTAAAGAAATTCATCAATAAATGAGCTGTTTGTTTGAGTAAATGCATAAACAACAAATTTTTCTTGTTAATTTCCAACATTTATAAATACAGTTATCACCAATATCATGGTTGAACATGTCAATGTAGTAAAGTTCCTTTCATTGTTGTTCCAGGTGACTTTATGATTACAATAGGAGTAACAGTGCCAGCAAACAGTGCATTACATGTAAATTATTTCATTATAAAGCAGGAAACATTCTTGAGAAAAAGCTTTCACGATACAAATATGTCTGGGATATCCCATCTGAAATGAAAACGTTTCAGCCCTGTTTGGGTATGTTCAGACCACAGAAAGGCAATAGCCCGTTCCTGAAAGATTCATTGTTGGATAGATAAGCAGGTGAATTCCTATGTAGGAACACAGTATTTTGTCAGTGGACTGCATAGTCTAATTATTATTTTAAAAAATGTTCTTAAAGGGTGTAAAAGATTTTGATTGAAACCTCGCCAAGTACAATAAAATATACCTATTCAGTGCACAAGTAAAGAAGAAAACAATACGCTGTGTATTGTGTCACATTTTAAACCTGAAGAGATTAGTATTATACCTTTTGTAGATTTGGGTTTTTGCAGTGTTTCGAGATTTTTTTAATGTATTTTTAATGCCACCTTGGATAAGGATGACAGCTTAATAAATTATTGTTAATAATGTTGTGTGGTTGGAGGCTGGACAATGTGTAAAAGGTTTACACATGTTATTAATCAGCTGGGTGCTTGTGATAAAGAGAGCCGTATAAATATCCTGCAGAGAATGCATTTCAGGGTTCTGGTGTTGTTTTAAGAGCAAATAATCATTATGATTTATAGGAATGTGAATATAAATTAGCCCTGCCAATTTCACACCACAAGAAAGTAGGACCATACTTCTCATTCCAGTTTACTGTATGTAAAGACAAATTTAGCAGCCACTGACAGTTACTGCAAAATAAGTAGTTGGTTAAAGAGAAAAAAATAATGTGAAAAGATTGTTCACAATCAGAATATTATTTAAAATTAAACAGGTTCAGCAAATGTGCTTTACCTGGACACTTGCCTGAAGTGGACTGTTTGAATGCTGTGACAAAAGAAGCTGTTAAAATGGGCTAATTTGACCGCCTCACGTGTTCCTTTCCCAGTCTTGCCTCCAGTGCTTGTTCCACGACACAGCGAGTTCAACCCTCAGCACAGCCTGCTGGCCAAGTTTCGCAACGCCTCCCTGCACAACGAACCCCTCATGCCGCAGAACGCCACTTACCCCGACTCCTTCCAGCAGCTACCCTGCAATGCTTTCTCCTCATCCCCAACCAGCTCCTTCTCCCAGTCACCCAGCACCATCAGCTACCCCAACTCTCCAAGCAGCACCACAGAACCAGGCAGCCCCTACCAACTCACAGGTAACCATAGAAGACACGGGACCCGTGTCATTACTGCTTCTTTGAGAGTTGCCTTGAAATTCCAACACCTCTTAAGGCTTGATCTTAACTTCCTGTACTGAGGTTTGGATTAAACCCAGTATCGAATTACTGAACCATGTCGCAAGCAAAAAGCCAACACACAGTTTTCAGTTTTTTATTTTTCCATGTGAGTCTAAGACGAGATGTTTTACAGAATTACAATTCTACTTTGTACCATTTCTATCACAGGATAGTGAATGAACTTGCATGCTTTTTGGATGTCCAGGAAAGTGGAATGTACTGTCTGAACTGTATGAGTACTCAAGAAAAGATGAAGCGATTGTCCCACTCAGCCGTCTTCAAAATATGTGAGATGGCCTGGTTGTTTTTGTATTATTATCATTAATCAGTTACCTGCAGCAAAGATGTTTATTCTAACTGTATAAAGCCGAATGCAGGTTGGACTACACAGTGTGATTTTTTGTGCTCTGCATCACGTAGAGGAGCTTTATCCAGCATAAGAAAGAATGCAATAAAAGAAACTTGAGGAATTAAATCTGGTAACAAAGCCAGGAATGGGTGTTTCCAAGAATCATTTGACTCTTTTATTACAAACTTCTAAGCTTTGCTAGAGAAGTAATGTTCTTTTTCTGTTTTCTCATGGGGGCGAAAAATATGGCATTGATTGCATTTCTGTGTGGTAGGTATACTAATTCTGGAGGACTTAGAACAGCTGGCGATAGATTGCGGGTTTCATATCTCCAGTAGTCTTCACCAAGAGTCATGACCTGTAAAACAATCAAGACAGTGTATGGAAAATGTTGAGAAGCACAGTATTAACTTTCAAGAGCAGACCAAAAGCAGGAGCAAATATGTACTCTGCAGTTTGGTAAACACAGAGTGTTTATAAGATAGACACAGCAACAAGTACAGTCTCCACACTGCAGCTGTGCAGTTGGCATGCTTTTCTGGCCTTTTGGTCCTCACATGACAAAAGTATGATACTGTTTAACGCATCTGTGTAATGTATCCTGGTCCTTTTGGAAACGGGAACTAACAATAAACTTTTATTCATGCAGCAGAAACCCCACCTCCTCCTTACAGCATGACGGAGACAGCAGCCAATGAGGATGTGAAGCCCATGGACTCCTCAAATCCAAACAAGTTAATTCTGTCTGCTCCTCACAGAGGTGCGTCTATAACGTTTGTGTTCTGATGCAGGTTATCTGCAACAGCTGTGATGTGCAATAGTGATCGGCCTTCAGCAAAGCCTGGAAATCACTGAATATTTTTCTTCTACTGAAAGCACATTATTTGCTCCAGTGTTGCAACGCTAACAAAGAAAATTAAGTAATATTATATAAGAAAAATAGTTATATTATATAATGAATAATATTACATAGTAACAAATCTTTAACGTGAGCCAGCTGTAGTGCTTATGGAAATCTATCTATTTTACTGCATTGTTGTTTATTCTTGGTTTTCTGGCAATATGGTACATATCATCAGGCAGGCATCATTCACCATCATTTTAATACCACTGTAAATGACTTTCTTTCGGATCTGTGTAAAAATGCAACCTTTCTGCAAATGAGACTTTTTTAATATCCGGAGTTTATAAGGTTTTATTTGCAGACCAATAAATACTTAAAATAGCTTCTTCAAAGCTCTTTTCCCGAGGTTATGATTAAATTAAAAACATCACCTCAAAGAAACCATCATGTTTTGGTATCTCTGGGAGTTAATATACTCAGATGAGGTGAGCAATCCAGTTTTTGTGTTCTAAAAACACAAAAACATTGGTGTCTAAAATGGTTCAGGTTTGCAGATAATCTATACTACTCTATTGAATTTTACATTTCTAAGAAGATATCGACATGGTTGCTTTTTGAACCATGTCTTTTGCTTTTGTTCTCTTATTACTGATGTCACACCTCACCGGCTGTTACCACAAACCATTGGTCTGATCTGCCCCTACCTCTGTGTCCCCACAGATCTACGCCCCGTGTGTTACGAAGAGCCCGAATACTGGTGCTCTGTTGCGTACTACGAGTTAAACAACAGGGTGGGTGAGACGTTCCATGCCTCAGCTAGAAGCGTGCTCATTGATGGCTTCACCGACCCATCCAACAACAAGAACCGCTTCTGCCTCGGTCTCTTGTCTAATGTCAACCGCAACTCAACTATAGAACACACAAGAAGACACATTGGGAAAGGTCTGTTTCTTAGATGCTGTTTTTGTCCCGTTGTGATGAATTACTGTTGTGTTTAATTAGTGGTAGCATGGACTTCTGAAGGTCCATATTGTACATCCCTTTAAACATAATTTACCAAAGTGCAGCCAATAGTGCGTCAGTCTCCTTACAAAGCTCAGAATATGATTGCTACCTACTCCAAACCTGTGCTCATCTCAGTGCTGTCTGTTACTATTAAATTAAACTTGTGACTGCACAAACAATATATAATCTAAACTTTCGTGAGCTTTTCTTCAAGCATGTGCTGAGATGTAACTATTATATGGATAAAATGCCCTTCCTTTGTAGATCGGTGCAGAAACAGGAAGCTTGTAGGGCCTATCCAAGTCCAATTTTTGCCTCTGTGACTGAATCCCATTGAAGATTAAAAAGACCAGTACTGAAATTATCCAGACATGTTGAATTTTTCAGTGACAGAAATACCATTAAGGTCCACTGCTGGCAAGTGATGAAAAAGATTTTTATGAAACACATCTGCCCCTTTTCAGTTTCCTGTCCTTTTCTCGAAAATAAAATGACTAATTTATGTGTCTTGTGGTGTACTAAAATGCACTTAACCAGAACCAAGACCATTTTTCTGATTATAATGATTTGGAAACCTGGAATGCGTTTTACTGTTCTAATGAGATTGGAAGAGTACAAACTCGGTCCCATAAAAATGTTTGCTTGGAAAGATCAGTTCAACTTTATGTTTGGCTCTGTGTGAAGAGTGAAGTTTTTACCTGTACTATAATTGTTGATGTTTTTTGAAGAGATTTAAACAGTTAAACCACAGTGTTATCATCTAACCAAAATAAAGGAATTGTTTGGCTTATCTAATGAGCATTTCTATCTCAATCCGTATTCATTACAGGACACTCGAGATGCTATAAACATGGGGCAGCATTTAGAAAACTTGATCCCAATTGATGGACCCGGATAGTCAAAAGAGGAGAGATTATGGGGGATCAACAATAATATAGATGATCAAAAACACAATATGAGAGGCAAAGTAGTTCTGCAGAGAAGGCAAATGACTTGTTACAAGAATAGGCAATAGGTTTATTCCATGCTGAAAAAAAAGAAGAAAGAAAATAAAACGTACGTTGTGTTTTCTTTCTTCTTTTTTTTCAGCATGGAATAAACCTATTACTTGTTCCTTTGCAGCCTACGTATGCTGACACAGTTACCCACCTTACAAGAATATACAGGGTTGATATGTACATTAGCTCTGCCATTGAGGTGCCATAGGTTATATTTAGCTGGCAGTTAGTTCCCTATCCATTCAAAAAATGTAGAACTCAGGTCTGAGTCTGGAGCAGCAGTTATTGGTGCATATTTCATCCCCTTGTCAATGTAAGCCCCATTAAAGTGCCCAAGTGACCAATTACTAAAAATAAACAATAATATAATTATTTTAAAGAGTGCCTATTGCCTTCTGAAGGTGTCCACCTGTATTACGTTGGAGGGGAGGTGTACGCGGAGTGCCTGAGCGACAGCAGCATCTTTGTACAGAGCCGCAACTGTAACTACCAGCACGGGTTCCACGCCACCACCGTCTGCAAGATCCCCAGTGGCTGCAGCCTCAAGATCTTCAACAACCAGCTCTTCGCCCAGCTGCTGGCTCAGTCCGTCAACCACGGGTTCGAAGTGGTGTACGAGCTGACCAAGATGTGCACCATCAGGATGAGCTTTGTCAAGGTAAGGGGTGGACTTCAGAGGGCCTGTGCCGGCACAGACAGCAGGGCTTCATTTCAATCTGGGCATACTGTAATGCCAGTGGGTGTTTCTTACATCGTTCAACTGAGAAGAAAGTGTGGTAGAAGAAACTAAAAAGGACTTAGAAGCGCATTCCAGAGTCGTGTATGTTTTTTTTTCTCATATTGCAATTGGGTTCAAACAGCCAGGTGTGAGGAGGAAATTAAAAGAAAGCTCCAAACTTTGGGAATGCTGGTTTGCTGTTTTTGCATCCAAAAAAATCCTGTTTCCTTTGTTACTTTGGTTCTGTTAGTACAGATCTGTTGAGAACAGCTTTGTTCTTGGACGAGCTCTGTAGGATTACTGGTAGTTCTTTCATGACAGAAAGATATTAAACAACCACAGCTCCTTAAGGGTTCTGTTTTTTTGGTCCTATGTTCATACTGGGTCCAGTGAAAGTGCCAAGGCAATTAAGTGGTTTAATGGCATTCTTAGGTTACTATTTTACACTTATAAATGACGACAACATTCCAGCTGTTTCTCTGTTCAAGTGAGTCTTAGGTATTAGACACCCTATTGGTTTACGAAACTTTAATTTACAGATCTCACATCTGGCATCCTGGAAATCATGCCAGTCAAATCTTAGTGAAATCTGGAATTTCAACAAATTGTAACACGAGACTAGAAATTATCAAAAGCATCTACACTGAATGTACATTAGCATATTTATTTCCATAAAAATACCCTGTATTATTTTCTTTCAAGAGCAAATTATGCAAGAAAATGAGATTGCACAAATTGCCCTTTTCTTTTATATCAATAACAGAGACGTTTTGCTGTAATCTGAAAATCTGTGATTATGATGCTATGGAACAATAAGTTACTTTAAATTCCTGCTGGTGATGTATTATGGAAGATTTCACATACATACAATTTCCAGTTTCTGACCACATCTTACTTTATTGTGTGGTTAATTTTTTTTGTATGAACGTTTCACTAAGTTATGGTGGAAGTAATCAAGACAAAAGCAGGTAGATCTTGGTAAAATGAAATACTAGACAGACCATTATACATTTACACTAAAGCAGAAAAACCCTCAAACTCTGATGATGAGTCACTTATAGTGGACTTAATGTCACTACTTTCCATAAAGCTCCTCTTTAATAGTTAACACATTGAAAGGGGGCAGGATTTTAGTAGGATTAGTATCTTATATATGTTGTAAAGAAATTATCTATGTGCAACAGAACAATCAGATCATTGATTAAAAAAAAAACTCCACCTGTATGTAGTCCAGGAGTGGACAAGTTTAATGTCTGCTGTATTGCAGTTCAGTGTTTTGGTCTAAGGTTGATATTTAAGAATTCCACAGCTTGTCAAAAAGACATGGTACCTGTTTATTTATCATATTGTAACGCTTACGGCCGACAGGTACTGTGTAAGAGCCGGCGTACCAGAGCAGGTGACGTCACCTCCCTTCCCTGTGATAGCAGGACCACAGCTACTGGGCTGTGGAGAGATCTCTCTTTAGCTCACGGGGCTAGGTCGCTGCAGAGAGACGCGGGAGTCCCGGGTTCGAGCCTCAGTCGGGATGGGGCCGACCTAATGCGGCAAGGGCGCCCGCCTGAGCCCCCGTTGCGTTACATTGGTGTCAGAGTGGGGTGGGATAGCCCTTCGCCCGGGCCGGCGATTTAAGCGGGGGAGAGTGTAACGCTTACGGCCGACAGGTACTGTGTAGGAGCCGGCGTACCAGTGCAGGTGACGTCACCGCCCTTCCCTGTGATAGCACGACTACAGCTACTGGGCTGTGGAGAGATCTCTCCTTAGCTCACAGGGCTAGGTCGCTGCAGAGAGACGCGGGAGTCCCGGGTTCGAGCCTCAGTCGGGATGGGGCCGACCTGATGCGGCAAGGGCGCCCGCCTGAGCCCCCGTTGCATTACAATATTCTGTCATATTTATCAAGTCTTGTGTATGGTAGCTTGATGATATGTGCCCAAAAAAAGTTTTTATTTAACTAGCAAACACAAAGAACGTAAATACTACACAAATGGGCTGGACAAATATGTTGTTACCATGAAAACAGAGTTTTTGATTAAATTTCAGCCTTAGTTTTATATGGGTTTCTGTTAAGTGCCACAAATAGATACTTTATTGATCCCTTGAGGGAAATTGCAGGACAAAACAAAATTAGAGCCACAAAGAATCTTTGTTTTACCCAGTTGTATGTGAGTTTTTCTGCTAATTTCTTAGGCTTGTTTCTCTCACTGTAAAATACCACTGCCCAGATTATCTATATAAATCCAATTGACTGATTACGCTGTTTTTCTGCGGCAGGGCTGGGGTGCAGAATACCATCGTCAGGATGTCACCAGCACCCCCTGCTGGATCGAGATTCACTTGCATGGCCCCCTGCAGTGGCTGGATAAGGTCCTGACTCAGATGGGGTCACCTCATAACCCCATCTCTTCTGTCTCCTAACACTCCCACTACCCTACATGCAACAAGTGTAAATTATGTTATCGGACAAGAAGCAGTGTTATGCACACTGTTGGAGGGATATTAAGTACTGCTATATCAACTTTATCTCTCAGCAGGTACACCAAAAACGTACACTTCATAGTTAACGAGTCATCGACAGCGAGTACCTCTGTCTGTAAATATATTCTACACAATTGTGCCCAAGGAATCTGTAACTAACTCTAAAGACCTCTGAAATCTACGTTTGGGTACCAAGTCTTTTAAGTATTTGTGCTTTTCTTTAATGTTTTTATGTTGTTGTTTTTTTTAAATGCTGATTTTAGAATAAACCCAGCCACAATCTCAGTGTTTTAGAAAAGAAAAAATTGTATTTCTTGAGAAACGGCAATGTGTTTGTATTTAAAAAATATTTGACTGTGCAATGCAGTGCAGTTTAGGTTTTAGTAGACTTCATGTGGGGGAAAAATAGAACTTGACCATTGCAGCCCATTGGATTACCAGTCATTTTATCATGGGCCTTTTGATATGCCAAAAAAAGTCCTTTTTATAAATATATAAATTGAGTTCTACTAGAAAGGTTGGTGTTATGGTTACCATGGCTGCCTCACAGCTCTTGGGTCCTGTGTTTGAATTCTAGCTTGTGGTAGCTCCTCTGTGGAGTTTGCATGTTCTCTCTGTAACCATTTGGGGTTTTGCCAGATGCTATTTCCTCCCACACTCCAATGACTGTATATATCTGTGAGTGGCCTGTGATGCATCCAGTCTGTGTCCTGCCTTGGAACTGAGCAGTACCTGAAAATAGGTAGAAAGAGGTTAATAGTAGAAAATGTTTGTTCACCATATTGAATCACAGCATGTGGAGACTCTGCACTCAAGAAAAGACATTTCTCTGGCCTTATTAAGTATTACATTTAAGAATAAATTCCCTAGATTTTAAAATGTTTTTTGTAATGGAATCAGGCACACAGAGAGGCTGAAGGATGGGTTCTACATAAAGTGCTACTTTAAATCCAGTAGGCCTTCAGTAATTTAATCTTCTTTTTTGTTGTTGTTTGGTCAAATAGTTAACTCTGGTATGGACATTTGTCTTACATCCTCTCTTAATGTAAAAGAGTTATAGATTTTTAGCTGTAGTGAGCTCTCAGCTCTATTTGTTTTCAGCATGTTTTTGGGATTCAGGTTGTGCTGTATGTTGAAAATCTGAATCACAGAGCGCAATATTTGCTGTGCTTCTTCATCATCTGTTTGTCTTGCCTTCAGCTATGCAGATATACTTAAAGTAAATCTGTTAGACAACGTAAGTATTATTCTTTGTCCTAACTGTTGTGTATGACTTGGATAACATTGAGAACTATTTTGGAAAATTGTTTTTCAAAATCAAATGTATTATCTAAACTAATACAATAAACAGCACTTATGAAGAACCACAAAAAGGTCACTGTCAGCTATATATTCTCAATATTATTTAAAGGAATTCTGTGGCCAACTAATGGATGCCTTCCATCAAAGAATTGTGGTGTGATGGATTACGGACAGAATAATATTCTTTTTGTGAATGTGTTGATAAGGCGATGAGCATAACCAGTAAACCTCTTAAGATTAAAGATGGGATGTATAAAAGAAAAATGTCAAGATTAATAATCATGCAACCTCTGGAGGGCAAATATGTTTCCATATCTTCGCTTTGTGAGGCCCCTATAAATAACTGGAAATTATTAAAAATTCATGTCTGTGAGGTTTCCAGCTTCTTGAAGTTGGCGGCTGATCTGTTTAATGTAATATTAGTGTTTTCATTAAAAAATGACCAATATCCATGTCTGTGGATGTAGTCTCATCTTTCTGTAGTGATGGATAAGTTTGTTTCCCCGACCACTGCAGCTCCTGCTGGATGACCCAATTGGAAGGTAACTGAGGTTTAATGAATTGTTTTTTTTTTTCCCTGGGAAGGGAATACCAGTACTGTCAGAGATAATCATGTAAGGTGTTCTCCAAGGGCAGCATAGTGATGCAGTGGTCAGTATTGCTGCCTCACAACGCTGGGGCCCTGGGTTCAATTCTTGGGCTGCTGCCTGCATGGAGTTTGTAAGTTCTCCCTGTGTTCGTGTGGGTTTCCTCCCACAGTCCAAAGACATGCTGGTAGGTCAGTTGGCTTTGGGGAACATTGCACCTAAATGTGAATGTGTGTTTGTGTATTTACCCTGTGATGGTCTGGCGTCACATCCAGAGTGTATCCTGCCTTCGGTCCATTGCTTGCTTGGATAAGAGTCCAGCTTCCCTGCAACACTGAAAGAAGCAGTTAGAAAATGGATGGATGGATTTTGTCCAAGGTGCAGTGAGTAGTTATAATAAAAGATTTAACATCACACCGTCATGTGCCAGATCTAGCACAAAACCTCTATTTTGGATTTTATGTTTTAGAAACTGCCTTTTTTAAAATTGTCCATTTCCCTGGCTTCAGTGCCATGATGAGAATAGGGGTTGGTGTTTGTACAGCTCATCATCTGTCCTGTTAAAGAAACCTGGACAGGCTAGAAAGTAACCAGACATTACCTAGTGGTAGGCTTTAGAAAGAAACCTCACATACTTGGGAGAGTGTGTTCCAAGACAGACAAGACCAGAGCAGCAGGTAGACTAATTGAGCTGAAGATTACTGCCTAACTTTGTTTCTGGATTTACCTTTAATGAACCAAAATCAACCAGGTTTCTGAAAACTGAAGGGAGGTGTATTTTCTGATCATTCTGATCGCTATTTAAGTTCCCTTTTTGTAAACCTTACAGGGGACGTTTGTGTCCTATATTTAGCATCTGTTTTGAGGGCAGCCTCAAAGAATGATATTTGTTTGATTTCTGAAACAACCATTTACCTAGAGTTTTATGTTCAGTTTCTGAATGCATTAGAGTGATAATGAGTAACATCTAGTTAAAGAAATTAGACAGTACAGTGATGGAGATTTGAGAACTCGTTATGCAATTAGTTGTAAGAAGTCGTTTTTGTGTTTGTGTCTTGTGGGTGTATAATTCTCGAATAAACATTTGCATTTAGTGCATTATCAATTTATTTTGTCCACCACCAGTATCCTATTTTTGGGGGTATTGAACATGTAGCCTTTGATTGAGAAAAATATATATTTTATATAAATAAACACCTTTTTGGTGTCTTTTATCCTAATTAAAAAGAAAATTAAGTTATTACCTGAAAGTGTTAAAATACAAAATCCAACATATAAGAAAACTTGGCCATTACCCTTAATGAAACTTTTCAAACCCTGCAGTTTGCAGAGGATGAACTGGTCCACCGTCAAAAGCTACTGGTCATTTTGTTTTGGAGCTCAAAATATTTGACATATGTTCCTATTTTTGTCTTTAAATTATACATGTCAAGTGTGAAGTAAACTATCATTATGAACAACATTAGTAATGTACTGAGAATTACATACGGTTACAAATGGATGCAGAGAGTTTTAGATGTGTTGCAATGTGTTTTCTTAATTCTGTTCATACCAACTCTCAATGGAGAAGTGGATAAAGCTTTAGACTCATAACACAGTGGTTTATGTTCATATCCCATTTGGGGCACTGCTGCAGTACCCTTCAAGGGTACTTCACTCTGACTCCTTAAGAAAAATGTCTTGCTGTATAAATGAGTGCAAATGCAGGGAAAAAAGCATGATTTTACAACCTTTTTACTCTGCAGTAAAAACAAAAAAAAAAATCAAATTCAATAAAACACAACAGACATCTTGGCAATTTTCATTCATAATTGAGTTTTAGCAACTTCCAATCCTACTGGTTGAAGAGAAAGAAGTAAATTAGCTGTGGAACATCCACCACCAAGCTCCACAAAACTCAAACATTTCCAAGATATACAATAATTTAACACATAGAATAAAATATCATGTTATACAAACATGCATTACAAACACATTATTTCTATCTCCTGAAAATTCAAAGAAGCAACAGGCAATTGCACAAAATACCTATGGTCATCTCAGCCAACCATATTGTCTTCATTTTGTACTGGGCAAACTGTACATATAATAAAATAATTACAATATATTTTTTAAATAATTTAGTGCCTTAGATTAAAATGCCACACAACGAATATACAACCAGGTTTTGTTAAATAGGTTACAAAAATTTTTACCACTAAACAGTTATTTAAATCTTTTAGAAAAATTATACCGGTGAGACTTTGGAGTGCATGCTTTTTTTGGCTCACTTTTTTGTCTTGCGTGCAAATGAAAGTTACAAATTAAAAGAGAAAATGTGTAGAAACAAGCAACATATTTGATAAGTTACATAAATCAGTGGCACTTATGAAATCTTCTTGAAATAGTTTTTTTCTTCCCACAATAAAGCTGATGTTGAGAGACTCACAGCCTATGAAATTCATATTAGACAGACGTACTAGGACAAACAAGCCATTAAATCTGTGACAAGAATATGGGTCTTGTGTCTACTAAGGATGTATCCTGACTCCCAAATTCAAAACCCCTTCGAAATCTTCCTCACATGTCCTGCCATGATGACCAAAATGGATCTTGGCAGACAACCAAAAATCAATGTTTTGCAAAGTTTGCACCCACATAGCCGCAATGTTATTTTTTTGTGCCTTCAGTTCATTTTAAACTGCATGAAGAAACACAGCCAATGCTGTGCCTGCTCTAAAAGACTTAGGTCAATTACCTCTAAAATATAAAAGGAAGGGGTACCTACTTATACCATTCCTGGTATAAGTATCATTCCCGTTCACCATTTCTTTTACTGCATTGCTTAAGACTAAATACTGGCGTTTTTAACTTCTAAACATATACCCAAGTAAAGTCATACCTCTCTATACAACCATCCATGTTTTTGTTTAAAAGAGATGCCAAATTTTAGCTGGTTTTTGATTTAACAATTGGATTATCACTCTTCCAAGTTGGGCTCTTGTAAAGCATTGCTGAGATTCTTCTTTTCTTGCATCATCCGGGATGGGGAATTTCTTTTTTTACATTTTAACTTTTTTTTTAATAATAAAGGCTTGTGTGTGCTAAGTGCATCGTACGGTTTATGCTTTTTGCTAAGGACTAACAATGTAACTATGGTACTGATTCTGTAAATGAGCAAGAGTTATTGTTTTCCTACCTATTGTTTATGCATCCGCTACAGACTTTAAGCATGTTATGCGAATAATTAACTAGGCTTTTTATTATTTTTATTCAATGGAGAATGTGTTGTGTAAAGGGGAAGATTGGGTGTCTAAGGGAACATTTTTGAGTTCTAGAAACAACTGAAGCTTATAAAGGGAAAGTAAAGGGGATTTCTGTTATTCAAGTTTTCACCTTATAAGCAGTTTTTTGGGGAAAAAATTAAGCTCTTACACAGAGGGATTAGAGTATTTCTAATGTCCTTTTAATTTACTTGATGTTCACAGGCACTGCTGAGCTAAATTGGTTAGGAATAATCTGGAATTGCTGAAAACTGCTAGCAGATTTTCCAGTTATAATATAATACAGCTTACAACTTCAGTGTATTTCCGATACTGCCTGCTGTAAAATCCGTGAAAAAATGGAAGTGCCATATTTGTCCGTGATAAAACTCACCATTGGGGATTAAAAGCAAGAATTGTCCCATTTTGCATTGGCTGTCTGCCTGTGTGTAGTCTCTTTGCCTGCCAACAGCTCGTAATGGAAAATGGCAGCATTGCGGCTCGCTTCACAATTGGATCATGACACGGGGAGAACAGACACCTAATGAGGATGAACATTGGAGACAAAGTCGATCAAACCTTACCTTCCCACTTCTGGGAGGAGGGAGGAAATGAGAATTCAAAACTGGCGAAAACCCTCAGATAAAATAGTAGACATCACAAACCCATTTACGCAGTTGCAGTACAGAGTGGTATTTTGTTAAAAATGTGACAGGAGAAATTCCAAAATAGCTGTGCCAAATATTAACCTCCTAAAACAAAGGCTGCTGGGTAGCAGACTGATACATAAGCATACTGTCGTAGCACTGCATAGTTAAACACTAAACTAAGCATTCAATGACATTAAAAAGGGAATCTGAAAACCAGTTCCTAAAAGCTGGTTTTGATGTTCTGATTTGACATGATTGTTCACGCTCTAACTTTTTTTCAGAGGAGCCAAATTCTTCTGACTGCCATTTTTGTAACAAGCTTTTGTGATCCACAGTATTTTGTTTTTCTTTTCTCAACACAGGGTTCTATGTTTGAGCACCTGCTTGGGTAAATTGCTTGAATTTTCTTTTAATGGAAAAAGGGTTCGTCTGTTTTGGGGAATTTCAACCTCTGCTGTCCAGTCCAATGATTTAGGATTTCTAGCATAAAATTGGCTTCCAGGGGAAAAAAAAATATCCACAAGGTTTTGCAGTCGTGCATGAAGAAAAGGAAGAATAAAATGACCGCCCTCCCTCTTCACCATTTCCAACTTAATAGTCTTGATGTGGTTGCGCTCGAGTCTGGTTGGTTAGTAATCGCTGCTGTTGCTGCAAAAAGCTAATGACTTCTGGACTTCTCAGTAAGGACTGAAAGAAAAAGATAAAAAAAAATTCAAATGTGCATCTCCTCAAGGGTAAATGAACTTACGCTTCAGTTAACATTTTCTGGGGTGGGAAAGCTAAATAAGTTCCATACATTACAGAAAAAACTATTATAGCACCTTCTTGTAGCTGACATCAGAATAGTGGAACGGCACTGAATACTGATTCTGAGGCAGTGATTGTTTCAAAATGCAAGCATGCCCACTACAGCCATTACACACTTGATAAAGGAACTGCAGTCCCCTTTCTTTAATCAAGTTGAATACAGTACTAAGTATGGTTGGTGGTTAAATTAATAGATTGTCATTAAAACACCAAACGTTTCAGAAACGCTTCCTACCTTATGCTCCACTTGTAAAGAACTACTAGACCACAATTTAATAGTTAATTATTCTTGTCATTATTTAACTGCATCTCTAAATCAGTGGTTCCCAGACTCTGCCTCTGCTACCTTTAATTCTAGCTGAGCTCTAAATCTCCAATGCTAATCGATCAGTCTTGACTTCTCTTTAACTTGTTTCTGCGGTCTGTCCCACGTCTCAGAATTACCCTACTTAAATGGTTTCCAACAACATCAGCACATAGAATTTTACACAGCTTTTCCTTTTCCTCCATTATTTCTGATTAAATAAGTCAATTTATGATAAACAGGCACAGGTGGGAAAGAGTATTAGATATTTTTTAAATTAGTGTTTATTTTAGGTCCAATTGGTCACATTTCGGGCGACACACACGAACGAGGGCAGTTCCCGAAACTCAGAAATTGGTTACGGGACCGATAGCAATTACAAATCTCATTTTATCATTAAAGAGGTGAAAGTAAATTTTCACACGGCACTCACCAATCTCTTCTGGTTAAGGACTTGTTCTAAGAGCGAAGGCCGGGCTGGACGTTCACCTAAACCTCCTAAACGCTGTTTCGTAGCAGACACGGGTCTCTCTTCTGCGCTCTCCTGTTTAAGTGCAAAAAATAAGTAAATTAAGCTACTGTAAAATGCCTTATATAATTACAAGATTGGACAAACTATTTCGGTATGGATATCACACAGATTGTTTTAAAATCCGCATTGCTATTTAAACATTACCACTAGGTTACACTTGGAGTGGGTGAAATTAACAAACGGCTTTTCATTCGGAGCATAAAATCCAAATTAACGTATCAATTGGGAAAACCAATCTGCAACCCATGGGCTACAGTGTGTCGGTGAGATCCAATACTTTTTTGCAACAACGCAGAAATTCAGTAAAGCTGTATGGGAGAAGAGAAAGAATAGTGGGGTATCTACGAGGGGTACCTACATCTAGCTTCCCGCTAGACATGGCTTGATCGCTCTTCTTTTTCTTGTATTTGTCTTTGTACATTTTATTTCGGTGTTTCTTGCACATCCACGGCTTCCTCTGCTTGGCCTTCTGCGTGGTGGTCTCGGTGCAGCCCTCGTAGATGCAGGTCTTCATCACGTTCTCGTTGTCCCCAAAGCCCTCCTCGTCATTGAGCTCCTCGGGGCTGGCGGTGCTGTCTCTGGGATCCGAGGCGTCCAGCACATCGCTCTCCTCGCCCGGATCGTCTCCGCCGTCGTAGTACACCACGCTTTCTGACTCCTGTGGGGTGATCACGGTCGTCCTGCTCTCAGCTGGGGGGCAGTCCCCCACAAAGTAAGTAGGCACATCTTTACTCACTGCCAGCGAGACACTGGGGTCGGTGCTCACACCCGTGGTAGGAGCGTTTGTTTCTTCAGTCATCCTTGATTAGCAAGGCAATGCGAATTGCTATGTATTGTTGACAGCTACAGATGTACACGTACGATAAATCGGTAAGATAGCACTTCTGTCTACACGATTTCGATGTCCAAACATTAATTTACAGCTTTACTGTAAAGGGAGAAATACCATTATTCAACACCCATCTAAATCAGACAACCATTTGTGGTTTAGAGCATATACCAACTAATTCTGACACAGAAAAGACCCTCAACGGACATAATTATCTTCCATCACAAGGGTTCATATGTTTAAAAACTAATGAATAAAACGAAACTCGCGAATGGAGTTATATTTATAGCACATTGATTCTTGTTGTTTCTCTGCCACGCTTCCTGAAATAAAAACACTAACAAACAACGAGGCGACTTCATTCAAGAGCTTTGCGGATGAAATTTTGAGCTCTTACGTTTTGCGATGTTGCCGCCCAGTGGAAAGCGGTGGTAAATATACTTCAATCCATCGCATTTTGAACCGTTTACGTGAAGGCAGAACACAAACCTATGACAACATAAATCTGACAATGCCGTGGCCGGTAGATCAAAATGGGAAAATATTTGACACAAGATACACATCGCACTACCAAGAAGTCCAAGTAAAACAAAAAAATATATATGAATAGCGAACTGACATCATAAAAGGAATAATAAAGTTAGGCAAAAGGTAATGCAATTATGAAGGGGTAGATGTTAAAACTTCATAATAAAATATTTTATTAAGAACATTGCAAAAACAGTGTTGAAAGTGAACGCTAAGATTATCTTCTCTACATTGTGTTTTTATTGAATGTTCTTTGTTTCACACTACTGTTTACTCTTGACAGGCTTTTCAAGGGACACGTTTAATGCTTTCTGGGGCACTGAAATGAAAGAGTATATATTGTTGTTGGTTTTTATTTTTGCAGTGCAGTATTTTCCTAGACACGTTGTGTTGCAGAAATTCTGGAGTTATGCCTAGAAGCTAGGGATGGAGCAGTATTTCATTCATAACAACCAAGCATTTAGGCAGTGGAGAAATTTTACAGTCTTATAGAGGAGCGGATATCATCTTAATTTTCTTTTTGTTATATGCCTTACAATTTATTATTTTTCTAACGGAGTATTTGTTACTACCCAAGTAATTAAGCCATTCAACTATACCCCCTTTTTTTCAGAGTAGTGTTCTGTTGTATTTCTCTTTGCATGAAAGAAACAATCTAAGCAAGCTCTATAAAACTCCGAAGTAAAAGTGAAAATTCTCTTCAAAAAAGTTATAGAATCTGCATTTCCTCTAGTTCAAGTATTTTAATATTTGCATGAGAACATAATTGCATAGCCATGCTAAATTTAAATTAAGCTGTAAAAAAAAAACAAAAATATAAAAATGCTAAATACAAAATAATAAAAATGCTGGCCAATAATTCCTCAGTTCTTTGCCTAGATCTAATTTGGTTCTTTGCATACCAATATGTGACAGGAGAATATCCAAAACAGCTGTGCCAAACATTAACCTCCTGAAACAATGGCTGTGGGGTAGCAAATTTAATAGATATAATCAGTAAAATTCAGGTTAACTAAGGCTATATATTATCCAGCTCTATCCAGTTAGCAAACAAAACTTCTAAGATCCTATTAAGCACTAGAGTTTGGGACACAAAGTAATGAACAAGGATAATTCTCGGGTTAGATCCTTTTTAGTAACAAAAGTGTTAAATTTTGCCACTCTATGTGCTATGTTGTCTCGAGCTGTAGCTGAAAAGCTATGCAACACGTTTCTCTTCCAGAACTGGTTACTGCAACGTCCTATTCAATGGGGTATCTAAATCCACATCTGAACAAACTTCAGTATGCCCAGAATTTGGCAGCCAGAATCCTGACCAGGTCTTGTGCAAGTGATCACATTACTCCTGTCCTGGAGTCTTTGCATTGGATTCCTATCGGGTTTTGTGTCGACTTCAAAATCCCCATGCTTGTCTATAAGGCTCTACTGTACATGGCTTGGCACCTCAATATCTGTGAGACCTATCTTCCTACTTCCCATCTCGCAGCCTTTTTAGTCTAAGTTTGGTCTCCTCTCTGTTCCCCAAGCCAGTCTACATTCTGTGGGTGACAGAGCCTTCTCTTGTTACTCACCAAAGCTCCTTGCATCTTCTATTGCATCCTTAACTCATGTTTTTAATTCTTCTACTTTGATTTTGCTCCATGTAATCTTTTTTTTCTTGCTGTAATGTGCTTTGAGAAGTTACTTTTACAGACCCTATATAATATAGACTGAACACTGGTAGCAAATGCAATGTTATCGATCTGTTTCCCCACTGTATTTCTTCCCCTTTTATTTCAGGTGTGTTGGCATCAGTGTCTCTGTATGTATGATTTTGTTAAAAAATTAAACCAGTGTAAAATGTAACCTGGACATTTGTTTTTAAATTTCCTAATTCATGAAGTATTTAAAATGTGTGATCCCCAGACACAAGCCCCACATCTTTTCATGAATAAGGTTATGCTTCTTTCCACATGAGGGGCTGTGTTGAAGGTCTGTGGAATACCAAATGCCTATGACTCCAGGGATTTTTTTCCTCTCTTTATGTATGAATGAGTGAGTGCTGTATCTTGTTGGGCTTTTACTCAGGCGGGAAAATATGGCACTGGAATGTGGCTGACATGAATTATTGATATACTGAATCCTATTCGGTTTTCTTGTTTGGCAGTGCTTGCTGAATGCAGATGAGAGAGTGCAAAGACAGCAACCCGTGTCTGCCAAAGTATGTCATTTACAAGTCATCCTACCAGTAGAAGGTATAATGAATACTGGCTGGCCTTCCACAGAAGCTGTTTCTCTGCATGCAAGTCATGGTTTGAAGTGACAAATTTCCTCCATAATGAAAAAATACATTGTCACTTCTTCACAACTCTAAAGTGGTCGTTTTAAATTCTGCTTTTACCATCTAGTGTACCATGTCCCTAATATTTCTTGATTCTCTTCAAATTCTGCCCTCCTTACTGTCCCCCAAGCCCGTCTACATTGTATGGGCGACAGGGCCTTCTCCTGCTATGCCCCCAAGCTCTGGAACTCCTTGCCCAAGGATATTAGAGAGTCACCTTCTCTAAACTCCTTCAAATCCAGACTCAAAACCCTCCTTTTCAGAAAAGCCTTTACTTAACTGGTTCCATTCTTCACCCCTCTGCTCTTCTTAATACCATCTTCCACGGTCTCCTCTATTGTTATTGTTGTAATTATAATTGTGTCCTGTCTTGTGAAATTTTCTTATTTATTGTTGTAGTCTTCTTATTTATTGTTATTGTCATCCTGTAAAGCGCTTTGAGAAGCCACCTTTAAAGGCGCTATATAAAATAACGTTTATTATTATTATTATATTATTATTCTTTTTGATTGCCATCTTCACAGACTGAATGAGGGTAAGTCAGTGAAGGGTGGTTATGGGGAAATTATCATGTGTTGTAGCCATCCAGATAAAACCCTACCTAACCCGCTGGTGAACATGCACAAACTGGAAGGCTACTGTGCCCCCAAGACAGTGGGCACTGGTCAAGTATCTGACAAGTATGGAAAACAACAAGGAGATGCAGACCCTGAGGAAGCACAGAGAACTGAAAAAAATACTCAGGCTCGAGAGTCTAGAGAAACATTTCCTAAAATAGCAATCTCTATTACTGAAGCTCCCACCAAAACGTAACAAATTAAAAATATAAATGTGTATTTAATAATTTGTTTTATGGGAAGCGGTTTGCAAAAAGCCCCACCAGCACAAAATTGTATGAATATCCATACTTCTGAGGATGAGAGTTAAAATAACGGCATGTATTCTAAGGCATTTTACTGAATGATTTTATTAGATGATATGAGCTGTTTAAAATTCCAGCAAGCCTTTATTAATTTATTTGAGCCAAATAGCAAGGTTAAGGGAGGCATGCATAGAATATTGCATGGTAGTATTTAATTTTCCTGGAATTGAAAAGTACACAGAGTGGAAAAAGTCGCTTGCTTCTTTCCCTATTTCATTTGGACAAAGTTCACAAAGCAGAACTGACACTGACTGATTTTTATTATTGTTCAGCAAGAATCGGTACGCAGAGCCCCAATCCAATGGTTCTGTTAGGAACTCAGCCATGTGTATTTATTCGTTTGTCTCCTGTCATGATTTGGGCTTTTGTTTGTATCTGGAGAGATCTGTCATGATTTTTGAAAATAAAAATACAGATGTAAAGTTCACTTATAATTTATAATTAAGTATAATTTACTTAATTTCTATAGGATAAACTATTCAGGAAATCCTTTCCCTGGAATGCAGGTGACACCTGAACTATGGGATTTTTTAAAGATGTTGATTGTTTCTGTAAAGATGTAAAATGTTATTGGCAGGTTTACAATTACAATTGGCATTTATAAATTTATAAAGAAACTTATCCTTAAACTCGGGATTGAACCAGAAATGGACACATGACTCGAATAAATGGTGTGGGTTCCCCCGGGACCTGAGCTCTGCTTTCCTGGTCAAGCCTGAGTTAACAGTTAATAGTATTTTTTTTTTGATTCCTTTCCCGTATTTATGAGCTCTTGTATATCTAATTGCATTTGCTTGCTGTTTTCTCCCCTATTCTCTTTCAATAAAATCAACAGTTGACGAAAAATACACTTAAAGTGATCTAAAATATTTCGCATTGGTAAGGATTGTAATGTTTCTAAACTCTGGTTAGAAACCTTTGATGCTTCACGCAAAATTCTGTTTCTGAGTTAACTAGTGATCAAATCTGATATCCATGATAGTGCTGATTTAAATGTTAAAGGATTTCTAACTGGCATAGTAAATTATGCTAAATGTGACCTGTCAGAACCCACATAAGACAAGGCTAGGAGTGCAAAAGCAGTACTGCAAGTTGCTTTGCCACTACCTTTCAAGTATACAGTCAACATTCATTTCATTCATTCCCCATTTTAAGCTTCGCACTCAATATAATAATAATAAAAAGTGCTTACTTTTTATTATTGGGAATAATAAAAAACATCTGGACACTCCCCTGAAAGCACTTTACAGGTAATGGGGACTCCCCTCCACCAATGTGCAGCTATCAGTGGGGGGGGAGAGCAGAGTAATGAAGCCAATTCATAGATGAGGATTATTAGGAGGCCATGATGGGTAAGGGCCAATGGAAAATTTGGCCAGGACGCTGGGGTTACACCCCTACTCTTTTCAGACTAAGTTCTTGAACGGTCGCATCCTGCCAGCATTCCAGATGGTTACACTCACCAATGAACAAAACTTATCACTACTTCATACCTGAACAGTTGCCAAGGGTAAAACAGGAAAGTGGTACAAAGATGGTTTGACCCAAAAATGTTTTACACATTAATTACACAAATTAATAAAAATGTCATTCCCAGAACCTGCTTTATCCTTAGAGGGTCATGGTGGACTGTAACCCTGTAGGCACTGGCCACAAGGATGGACTACATCTTGGGTGAGAAGCCAGTCCAACACAGGGTACCCAAACATAGAGACAGCAATTGGCCTCGTTAGCATATCTCTGGACTGTGGCAAGGAACAGGAGAACCTGGGGAAAAAAGCAATGTAGACGCAAAAAAAACATGCAAACTCCACACAAGGAGTCCCCAGTTGGGTTTTAACACAGGACCAAAGATCTAAAGCACTAGCTCCTGCTACTAACACTGATATCAAAACAGTCACAGTTATTAAATGATTAAATCTTAAGTAATGACCACTGTATCTATTTGTGACAAACTATACAGTTTAAACATGATTCTAATCTATTTCTGCTCCATGACCTTGGAGACTAATCAACAATAAAGATATAATGAAAAGTTTCACTTTTGATCATCGATGTCTATGAGCTCCTGGGATTTTATCATTATTAATCTTAAATCGGATCAATGAGGACATTCGAAAAAAAAAGTCACATTACAAACAGATATTGTATTATTTCATAATCCAACTAAATGCCACGTTCCCTGAACAAATCCATTTTGAACTTATCACGTTTGTTTTTCTTTATCTCATTACTTACAGTATATGAGCTATGAAACATTCTACCTGTATATGAGCTAAATAAATCTGATGTTTTATCGTATTATATCTGTTGTGGTGCAGGTGGTCAGACCTAATCGAGATGAAAAAATTAAGTTATATAAATCTCATCAGAAGCTTTATTAATTTGGACAAAAGTGGAAGGCAAGAGAATTCATCGCTCTGTATCTCCCTGACAGGCATCCTGACGCATATTTACCTTGGAAAATGAATCCTCTAATGAAATGTCTGGTATGCATGCACCAGCCTGACAGAGGGCGTGTTTTATTCTACCGCAGCTTCGGGATAACAATCAATAAGATGTTTCCTATGAGGCTGTTGCTAATAGGCCTAATTCATCTGAGGTCAGGAAAGCAGAAGGAAATGAAATTGCCTGAAGCCCTGCTCCACTCAAGGCTCAAACAAACCCGAAGCATCACATACATCTCACACAACAAGCCAGATTGTTTTTGACGTTCTGTATGAATCTGGGTTCTCCTCATATCCCTTCAGTAAGGGGAGTAGCATCAAGGTTCCTGTGTCTGTTCAGTTTTAAGGTGGCATGGATTTATAGAAGCAGGGTGCATTCTACATTGTTTTGATGGTTATACTTGGAGAAATAAAAACAGAAAAAAAATCTCATGAAACACCAGCATGTATTTATTGGCATTATTGGATTTTGCAATTAGCTGTTAGTATTCTGTTCTTTTATATTGTAATTCTGTAAAGGGGTTTTTAAAAACAGCCTTTCTAAATGTTTTTCTCCAAATTTCTCAATATTTACTGTACTTGTGTAGTTAAATCTAATTGACATTATGAGTTTGAAAATCTGAATTTCAGTTATATCCTGATTACCTGTTGGATTAAACAATGCCTTTGCGGTGGTATTGTTTGTATTGCACTGTTGCATAGATCTACACTTTCTGCTGAAGGGGTAATGCTTTAAGAAACTCACATGTGTTTAAAGGCAATGGATCACATGTGTTCCTTGATTTACAGCATGCAGTTTCTCCTAAAAATGCCATAGACTACACAACTGTTTAATATTAGCAATGTCTTAAATAAGAGCATTGTCAGATAGGCCAACAGATAATATTGCAAATGGCATTCACTGCCATTTATGATATAAGGCACTCTGGGGCCTTCGATCCAATTAAATATGAATGGCCCTTGTCAAAGGATGTTTTGATTTTGAATATTTCTACCTAGCATAAATGCTAATTCCCAAGCAGTAAATAACAGAGGTGAAAGGTCTGAAGGATGACATTTTACAAAATGAAACTTTTTTGACCCTCATAGGGATTTGGTGTTAATACGTCCTGAAGGATATTTGCCTATATAATAAATGTCACACATTTATTTAGTCAATATTAAGACAATGAGGGTGGCATGGATTGTATTTGATGTACACCAATGTAACATTCTGTCATTTTCTATAGAAATCTAATACCCTGACTTCACAGAAGTGAAAGGAATATTACAAATGCACTGTTTTTTTTCCACTTTGGCTCTAGATTAGTGTAATCTTTCAGCCTTCGAAAGGGTATGACTTGGAATAAAAATCTGAGAATCTAGGCCTTCAAGGGTGTACTGAAGAAAGTTATCTATTTACTGTACCAAATAAGGTTTATTTTTTAAGTACCGTATGCTTTGTCACACGCTAAAAATAAAACTATTATTTTACTACATTCTTCTTTCAGAAAGGGACTCATGTCCTGGCCTGAATAAAAGAAGAATATTTATTTAGAACTCTGGTATTACAGAGCAATTCTCCCATTTGTCACTGATGGCAGCACTAAAGTAGAAGTGCCGCTATCCCTGATCAAATCAGTGTGTACAGAAAGAGGAGAATAAAATAAATGCTTGGCTATGGAAAGCCTGAGCTTTGTGGTCCCTGGGTTTTAATCTCAGGGGAGACACATTGTGCACATTGTGTGAATTTCTGAAGGGAAAGTCCAACCAAGTGAGAAGCTTATTAATGTTTACTTTGAAGTTTCAATCATACAGGAAGACCTCCCTGCTATTTCCATAGAGAGTGAATTACCAGCATCATAGCAACTGCAACACGTGTCTGTCATGGATCACAGACTCCTTTTTTCTGTTTTGCACCTTATCTTAAAAGGAGGATAATTGATACTTTGATGGACTGGTGGCCTTTGCAGCTTCATTGATCTCAATTCATTGTTGGGAGACAGAAGCTGCAGCAAGCACTTGTAGTTAAAGCTGGTACTTGGCATAACTTGTAACGTGTATGCTCAACGGGGAAAAAAAAACTTTTATGGATAAATAATTCCTTCACTACTTGAGCTTACAAGCTAACTTTAAAAAAGGTCTCTCTTAAGGTTTATTAAATTCCCTCATGAACAACAACATTTAGTGTAGGTATTAATGCTATTCCCAATCAAATGTATTGGTAACTTAAGGTGATACAATACTGTATACAGTACCTGCAAATACCTACACTGTATATGTTCATTTAGTAATTTATTATATGCATGTACTGTATATATAGCAAGTGGAAAACTAGTGCAGTGGTTAGCATTGCTTTCCTCTGAGTGCTCCAGTTTCCTCCTGCAGTCCAAAAATATACTGGCAGGTTAATTGGCTTCTGGGAAAAATTGGTCCAAGGTGTGTGTGCTTGTGTGTTTGTACTGTATCTGTGTCAGCCCTGCAATGGAGTGGCTTCGGCTCCCCTGATACCCTGAATTGGAAGAAGCATTAGAAAAAGAATGTATGGGTATATATATAAAAGAGTGCCTGTTGTTTTCTCTGACAGTGTTACAATTTCATTTATGGAACCGCCAGAAGTAACCAGCCTATTCACAAAAGGTATGACATAAGAATGACTACAAATCCATAACCATCCAAGTGAGACATTCTTTTAGCTTGTCTTGCTGCATGAAGGATATACCAGGTATTCTCAAGATTACAGTACAATTAGAAGTGTTTTTAATGTCCGTTATAGAGTGTCCTTTATAATATTACATAATAAATTCTGAATGATGCTTCATTTCCCTGGTTTTTAAATAAAAAAGCACAAATGTTCCTGCAATGTACTTAATCCATAATGTAAAACTGTTTGTCATAGTCTAAAGATGCCTGACAAACTGAGCTGCTGCGTGAAAGGTCTGAGCATAGACCGAAGTATGACAGCTCATCAAATGAGTAGTTTATCTATAGTGGTTGTCATTTGATAAATTTGTGTAATTAATCATTAATGTATTTAGTAATTAATGTAACAAGTATATCATACAAAGCCATAACCATTTTCTTAAACATCTGTCTGAAGTACATGTCCTTGACTTAATAACAGAGTCTGTTGTTTGCAGGAGTTTATTTTTCATTCTCACCCCATAAAAAAGTTTGTACTGACAGTAATTTGTGTAAATGAAAAAAAACATCTTGCCATGCAATTAAATAATAAAAAATAAGACTCACTTAATGTTGCATTTTGGGACCAGTAACCAAATTTGTTTTCTTCTTTAAATGAGGCATATCCAGAACAACATTATTGAACAATTTTGCATTTGATTCATTACATTTTATATTTCCCAGTAATTTACTGTCTGTGATTATATGGAGAAATACCTGACCATTAAAAAAATAATAATACAGTAATAGTCTCACTTGATGTTGAAATAATTTTATTTTCTGCCAGCAATGCATGCTTTGTTATTTGCATTTTAAGAACAAAGATGATGATACCTTTTAAACTCTCTAGTTTTCTGAATTTTAGTTTAGGGTGTAATTGTACAGGTAAGTCCCACTTTAAAAGCGAAGTAATCACTGTTAATGAAGTGTAATGTTTGCAGCTTTCATCTATGATGTCCTCTAATTCTAATTTAAAAAAAACAAAATTAATTTTAAGTGTTTTATGTTTAAAAATTTAAAGGTGACTTCCACCTTTTTTACAATGAGAATCAATGTAAAATAATGAGTTCTTAATGATAAATGCATGAGACAGGAACTGCCAATTACTGCTAGTTCTTTATTTAGTTCTTTCACTTGAATAATTTTAAGATACTAATTAAGTTGTTTTCCTCTGCAGTGGTCATTTGAGGCAAATATAGCAGCATTTGCTGTATGCTGGCAACCGACTGAAATGCTTCTTTTATTTTTAAATCATAAAGTCTGTATCAATCAACAATTTTAAGAAAAGTTGCAGGAAAGCCAGAAAGTTTACTTATTTAAAAGGCTTCATGATGATCAGAGTTAAATAAAGAACATGTCAAATATGAAAAAGATAGCATGTGGTCATATAGAGCCTGCAATGAGCTTTATCAGTGTAGCATGGGCTTAAGTCTGTGTCAATAATTAAATAAACCTCTCGTTTCCTCAACAAGTGGCTTTTGTCAACTGCTTACTGTGTTAACTTCAAAATCTGCTACCTAAGCTGGTATTCAAAGTCTGGAGGCTGTGTATTGATAAATGGCTGAGGTGAGCAGATTTCTTCACTCTGAGGGAAGCTGTTGTTTCCTAATCAATCAATAAGAGACGTATTTCGTGCCTAGCCTGCCTTATCACCTGCCTTGGTGAAATTATCAACTTCCTTCTCATCTGTCTTTTCCATCTTTTCCTCAAACAATATTAACATGTGATTACTGTTATTGCTTGCTGTCCTCTGTTTCCATCTTAAAATAGAAGAGTCAAGCACCCTTCTATTTTGAGAATTATTTATATTCTTAATGATATGCTTTTGCTGTCTATGTCAATATATATCACAAGATGGATAATGTTCAACTAAACTTAAAAAAGAGGACATATCACAAAATACTTAACAAAGCAGAAAGAATAAATACAGTTCTGTATAATGAAAAGACACAAATGAATTTAGGTGCCTGTACTGTACATGATGTAACTATCATTCTAGTTGCACACAGGCTTACTTGACTTAATTCTGAAAAAACATACTAACATTTAATATTTACAGTTTCAATGGTCAACTAAATGTATCTATTATAATCTACTTTTTTTGTTAAAGTTTAGTGGAAGTGACATACATATGAATGCACCATAAAATATAGGTCAATTTATTTGAATACAAGATGTAAGCTTTATAATACTTTCTGTACCTGGCCATCTCTGTGCGTGTAGCTTCTATGAAACACTATGAATTTGGTTAAAACACCAAAAACTCCACCAGAAGAAGTGCTCTTCTAGTGTGTGTGTTGATCTCCAGCAGTTCTAACAGTGGTAACTAAATGACTGTAACCAGGACTTCCAAGTGGTAATATATACTGGTCCACCTGGGTCTGCTGGGCATCTGCAAGCTTGCACTGTTGTGAGGTGCATCACTTCTTCAACCTTTGCTTTGGGCACCATGTAAGAACTGGTTCTCACATTTTGCAGGAAAAGGAGCACAGTCCTCCTCAAAACGATCATATCTGCTGTCAAGCCTATTGATGTTTAGAGATTTCCATTTTTGGTGGTAAAAGAAGTTCCCAACACTTTGTGACTCGTAAAATGAAAGACGACCTCAGGCGGACAGAGAGGACACAGTAGACCTCTGAGAAGACAGGCTGCAGATCTCCAAGTTGGTGAAGGAGCTGCCACCCTCGCTGGTGTATTCTGGGTATGAGGAACTAGAGGAAATGATGTTCTTGAGTCTGTGAAGTGCGATGATCAGGAGCATGAGTAGGAAGGCTAACAGGCTTAAAAAAATTGAGACATACACATAGACGTTCTCCATCTGCTCAGAGGACGAGTCTACAGCAGTCGAAATGGACGTTGGAATGAGTTTCAGGAATGTCCCATTTTCGGGCACTGAGCTGTTGTAGTCTTCCAAAGGGAGATCCATGCCTGACATATTGCAGTTTCATTTATGACACGTAAGGCAACATGTTATGCACTTACTCCTCAGCATTCATAGCCATTCTGCAGATGTCGTGAAAATATCCAGGCATTGTAACTTTTTGATAACTTGCTAATTGTTATTGCTGAATATCCTTTGCTGTAAAAAGAAAAGAAATGATGTCACTTCATTAAGAGTAGAAAATAATATTAATTTATACATAAGAAACATACATATGAATTCATATTAAATGTACAAAGATTTTGTCCCTGTATTAGTAACAGAATTATTAACATTACTATGGCAGAATGTAGTTTTTTTGTTGTGAAGGTAGTTAATCTTTAGTTGTACCTATACAGTGCTATGTGTTAAATAAGAGTGTTGTCTCAATTACCCTAAAAGCAAAAGATTAAAAGAGAGGGAGTACTGTATACTTTCTCCTAAACTGTTATCTTGTTGGTTGGTTTGATAATTTTGTGAAGCGCAACATGACTTTTGGTTCAGAGATCTTAATAGAGATCACAAAAACCTGGGACTGATTTTGGATCCCTATGTCTGAAAATGTAGCTGTTTATTTATAGGAATGATTTTGTCTTCGATCTTTTCAAACACTAGTTCATGCAGTTCATCTTAATACCAGGACATTTATACATGACATTTAGAGGCAGTTATCTACTACTGTTCCTCATTCTGTGAAATTCTCTGTCTTTGGTCTTAAAATGTTGTGACAGCAGCTATATAGTAGAAAAAATAAGATATTTCTATTTTAAAAACTTTAAAACATAATTCTCTAAATTAACATCAGTACACATTTACTAGGGAGAAAATGTATGGTATCATTACCCTCAAAGAAAATTTTAAATGAACTGTAACAGTGCTAAATTTTCATTTTTTTTTCCAAAACACAGGTGTGTTTACACTGGTGTGGCAAAATAAACGTAGCGAGAGTTCAAAACCTATTTATAAGCTCAATCACAACATAAAACCCAAAGAATTAAGCACACTGCAAAAATTGAGGTTTACTGTTGAAAAAAAGACCCCAAACTCGCCTTGTTTTGTCAATGAATTTCAACTACGCAAAAGCATAGGAAACAACTATGAACCTACAACAGTGGCTGCAGATGTTTCACATGCCTTCAAGCTCAGAGCAGATTGAATAAAAACATTCTAAGGACTTCAAAGGAACAGCAGATTTTCCACAGTGAGGCTAACTGCCAGCTCTTCTCTCTCCATTGGTTACACAAGACTATGTGAAGTGCTTCTAGCTGTTTTGTGTCAACCTGCATTTATCACCCTAGAAGAAAATGAGCCTGCTCTTACTAATACGATGCTAAAGTGCCCTGATTAAAATTTTCTGACACTTGGTAAAAGTCATTGAGAGACACAATTTCCCAGCCTTTCTCCCTTTAGTAATTCACAGATTGTCTGTGTATCGGGTATCAGTCCACAGTCCAAAGGGTTTTGTGTGGGGTGGACATACTGGAGACATTGTGATATTGCATTTCACCGGCTTGTCCTGAGATTTCAGCCAGTCTCAGGTCCACACTCCATTTGAGCTCAGAGTTGAGGAGTTTGCCTCAGGACTTTCACTCAGAGTGAAATTGCTTTAGCAATTCCAGTGGTTCAAAGAAGGAAATTGAAGTTGGCGTTAATTCATTTGTGCATGTTTGCAGATCAGGAGACACTTATTCCCCGAATGCACTTGGCTGTATGTTTTAAGGTGTTTTGTATTTCTATTTTCTACTTAACCTTGAAGCTTTGGTTTGAAATGTTTAACATCTTCTAAGTTTTTTAATCACAACAGTCACATGATAGGAGCTCAGTTATTTAACAGCCAATAAATGCAATCAATAAGCTTGTTTTATAAACAAATGGATTCTGTCTACAGATACATCTTATTAAGCCTAGCAAATAAATGCTACAGAAGTAGAAAAACCTGTGAAGACAGATACCATGAAGGCACTTAAAAGACTCTACATAACAATCATTAGAGTGGAGAATTTCATAGCAGGACATTTAAGTCTTATTGTATACTGTACAGTAAATCTGCTTAATTTAAGAATTTTACTAGAGTTGGGTTATGGATAGAATACTTTGGTGGGGTAAAAATTGATTAATTCCACAGCAGTATGCCAATAATGATCTCCTGAGTTCCTACCAGTTTTGTATTTATACACTTAGTTTGCACTAATGCCAACAGAAGCTGTGGCTCCAGTCTACTCTGGGTCCATCTAGTGTAGACACATGTCCTGGGGGCTGGATCAGAAGCAGCTAATTAATCTTTAAGCCTTTCTATTCACGTGTGGCGTGCAAGTGGAAAGAAGATTTTTAAATTGCTAATTGGAGCTGAAAAATTCAATTAAGATAAAATGTAATTGAGACATGATAATTTTAAGAAACAAAAATGAAAGGACGTTTTCACATACGGCAGTTCGGTGCTGCTTAACAAGAAAGTTCACAAAATGAGCTGCTGGAAAAATCGATGCCCTCTGCATATTTTGTTCAGTGATGCACAGAAAATGCGCATGCAGCTGTTGGTGATTGCTTTATTCATGTTGCCATTTTAACTGTAGTCGCACAGCTTTTGTTATTCTTTCATTACTGTTTCACCAAATAATTAAACAACCTTTTTGTGCAAATCAAGTCCTTGTTCCAAGTCAGTGCTCATAATAAATGGACTGCCAACTCTAAACACACATATATCTGAAAGATGACTACACAGCAGCCATTGCTTCTTCTTTACATCTTTGCCAGTGCTGGCAATGATGATAATACAATTAACAGAAAACACCTAACCACCAAAAATATTTGGTGTGTATATGTGACCAAAGCATTTCTCAGGGATGAAAACATACAAATTAGAAACAGAGATCAGCGCAATAAGAATGCAATATCCCTAGCATTTCAAGATTTTATCTCCACGTGAAATAAATCATTATCTGCACTGGAAGTGTTGGCTTGCTTAATGATTTCTTGAAGTGCTTCTAACAGGCACCTTAGAATTTGGCCTCTACAACTATAGTCATTTGATAATAATGTCAAAAATTGTTCGCATTTCATTTGGTCTCTCGTACAAAGCTTTGCTGGTTTAAATTAATAGACTAATGTGCTCTGACAAATGAAACATTCTATCTAGAGTTTTAGTTATGAGGTTAATGGGCTATATTCGTGTATTTGAGTACTTGTTTGCTTTGTTATTTCATGAACAGTGTATTTTACTTTTTTGCTTAGCCTACGGGCAATCATGTTTTAGTGATGTAGAGGCCAATTATAGAGCTACGAAAAACATTTTTTTTCATTCAGATTTGCTCCCTAGAGTGCACTTCGTTTTAATAAAGCTACCTTAATGAACGCAGTACCATTATATTTCAGTATAGATCTTGCAAATAATGAAACCTGGAAAATGTATTCATATCACAGAGAAATAGTTTATTCTAAATTTGAAAAGACATAAATATTAGCACATACAGTAAGGTGGCCATAATGATTCCAGGTACCAGATTCAATATTCTCATATTCCCAGTGAAATGGGATACAAGGATTGTGTTATTCTGATTGTTACTTGATATGTGATTATCAGCTATTTCTATGTTTGAGGGAGCACTGTGACACTGTTTCCTTGCTGCTTCAGTGTCCTGTGCTACAGTTGTAGCCTTTAAATGACTGTCTGTATGGAGTTCTTCCCACTGTTGCATGATATATCTCTGGATATTCACCTCCCAGCAGCAGGTAGCATAAGTTTGATTGGGTGTTTCAAGTTATGTCCCGAAAGCTTGTTGACTTGAAGAATGTTGATGACTTCACCTCATGTCTCTGCCCTGACAAAAGTGGCTCTTGAGCCTCCCTGCCTTACTATTTATATTTATATTTAGGGTGTCGCTGTGGCACAGTGGCTAGCATTTCAGCCTCACAGCATTGGGGTCCTGGGTTCAATTCCTGGGGTGCTATCTGCATGGAGCTTGCATGTTCTCCCTCTGGGCGCTCCAGTTTCCTCCCACAGTTCAAAGATATACTGGTAGGTGAATTAGCCCTGGTGTGCATTTGTGTCTGTGTGTGCCCTATGATGGACAGGTGTCTTGTCCAGGGTGTATCCTGCCTTGTGCCTGTTGTTTGCTGGGATAAGCGTTAGATATCCTGCATCCCTGTGTTGGATAACGTGGTTAGAAAATGGATGGGTGGATTTTATATATATTTGACACAGCTATTACCTTGTCTTCTTCGCCAAAAAGTTTCCATGCAAGAAGCTTGATAAATGAAGTGCTTTGGGCCAGATGGAGGTAATGAATTTTAAAAATGATAATAAAAGAAAGAAAAGCTCTTTGTCAGGCTTTCATGACTAATTCTTTCAAGGACAGGACCCCTGCTGCAGCGACGTCAGTCCAAGGTTGCAATACCGAACAGGCTTTCTTTTTAAGAGCGAGAAACGTAGGTAGAATTCTGTCAAGTTTTGTTTGTTTAAGAGGGATGGTCATCTTCAGACTAAGCAGAGGAGGATATAACTGGAGAAATCTGGCTTTTTAAATACAACACACCACACAATAGCTTGAGAATGTATACAATTTAAAGGTGTAGAGAAAGAGAGAATGGTTTTAAACTTCACTTGGGTATCCCTGCAGTATTTGTCACGTAAAAATTTGAAACTCTGATGTTTCCCAGATTAATGGCAGGCCTGTTTGCCAGGTATTGGAGAGATAAAGGTTACCATGATCACAAGCCAGTGCAATCTGAAAAGTAATTATCTGCCCTCCTTTATATACAGAATGAAAAAAAATACTACATAAAGGCTTACACCTCCATAGAGGAAGAAGCTTGCCAATTGTTAAGATTGTCGGCAGAAAAGGCACCTTTAATGTGCATAGATTTAAATATATGACTTTTGACCAAATCTGATCATGTAGAATGTTAATGTTATAATTTCTGAATAGCTGAAAAACATAACTTTCAGTGAAATAGGATATCATTATTTTTTCCTTATGCTAATACTGCAGATGCACACATGTTGAAGTACTATGTCTAAATGCTAAGGCACTTGTTTCCCTTTTGAGTTGGCTGGCTCACTGGTACCATTGCATTTTGTGTAAAGGCAATCATGTTGCACTTCAGGTGTTTTTGTTAATTATTCACCTCCTGTTTTTTGGAAAAGGTAGCAGGTTATTTAAACAGCAGCACAAAAAATATTTTCTATGATCCCATGAGAGATTATATTTAATAAGATCAATGGGTCTTAACAGAATTACATTTTATAATTTAGATACCTTTCGCATTTTTCCTTTATCTCGAGGGGACTGGGGGCTCACTGCTCTCCATGGTGTAATCTGTAAATTGTTGGTTTTTACACACAGTGACAGTATCACATCTCAGCAAAGACACTGTTAAAATCAGAAAAATGCAGAAAAACCCCATGTACATAGATCTGAAACATATTGTGAGTCTGATCATTTTAACAGTGAATACAATACAGGTAAAACATGATGTATACGAACACACCTTAAAACCCATCTACTAGTCCTGCATTTAAATAAAAAGGCACTGTTAGAAAAATATAAGTGATTTCTCCGAAAATAAAACAACTGAAAGGTGAGTGAAATTTGTTCTTTTGCAACGTGAGTGTGTGCACCTTCAGTTGCATCTAATTTACAGTTCCCTAACATTAAATATGCAGTATTGCACAAATGACTACGTCAATTCCTACTTGCCCAACCTCACGTCTCATTCTTGATTTTTAGTCATCTCATCTTTTAACCTCTAGTAACATTTCTTACACGTGAACATACACTTTCAATCACTGCTAAAACCTCTAAGAGATTTTCTTAGAAAATTATTAGAAGACTGAAGTCGTTGTAGTCCATATATTTCTGTAAACAATGTGTCACGATGCAGATTTCCTCCTGATCTGGAGTCCACAGAGTTCTCTGAGAAACAGCAAGCTCCATACTAATTTTCAATTGGCATTGTAGCTTTAATTCATGTTGTACGGGTATTTTTGTGAGGCCACAGTTCTGCTCTGGTCAGTTATTACTTTTCATTACCCATTTCGTTCACACAGCTGGAAATGCACTTCAGAGCATTTTGAGCATTACAAGCTAATATGGATCACACTGTTTGTTGATCAATGCTTCTCTTTGGATATTTCATTCACAGAAATCCCCTCCTGTGAAACCATGCAAATTACTGAAATTGAAAAGGCCTTCTGTGCTGCTATTCTGTTTTTTAACAGAAGATGATCATTTTCCTGTAAAAAATGTGTTTGTTTGGAAGCATATACAAATAAAATTATACAAGGCTATTGATTAAGCCTTTTTAAGCATTCACATGTCTGACATCACAATGTATACTATAAGACATTTATACTGCTATATTTATTCATAGACTAGTGCGAGAGTGGAAGTGTAATAGAAAGAATATCTCTTTGAATGGTTGCTGTTTTAAAAATATGTAAGCTGCTTATGTTACTTTTTTTTTTACTATTGAAGATGTACTATACTCTTATCCTTCTCTGTATTACTCTGCATTACCAGAAGATGGGACAAACTTGCATGGAAGTTGTTCAGATCTCACATTTCCTGTTCACTGCACTGTGTGAATGAGACAGCTGTAAAATCTTAATAGCTTTAATGTTCATTATGTGTGCTCATATATTTTTTGTGTCAGTTGTTACCTTTCATACCAGTCACCGACGAGCGAACTTCAAGATTGCACTCTGAATTTTTCATTAAAATTTTTTTTTTCATGAGATAATGACTTCCTCGCTAAATTACAAATGCCCGGCTCTTAACCATTAATATAAAAGGTTATACCTCACATGCCATAAATCTATAACATTTGCCATTCAGTACAGTTTCAATGCCTATAGTGGTAGCATAAGAGAAAATCATTTTGTGGTTAAAATCAGGACACTTACATTGCACAGGACTGGAGACTCTGCTTCACATTCTGTCTGAATCCCTTCTCTTTCGTTGAAGCCTTCAGAGCGGCACAACCCTCAGCGCTCTGATCACGCAGTCAGTGCTCAGTGCTCGGCACCCAGAGAATTGTTTACTTTCTTCGGGGAGAAAGAAAAGGGAAAATAAAGCAAGCTGTGAAATTGGGGATTTTGTACAAGTGCTCTCAGCAGGAGTCGGGTACAGCTGCAGCTCATCAAAGCTCATGACCATCCAGCTGTAATTTCAAGCCCTTCTTCTCTCATTGCACTTCTCTCTCTCTCTCTCCCCCTCTCTCACTCTGAGCTGTGCTGACTTAGCTGGGCTGCATTTGACAGAGATGACAATGCTGCCTGCCAGCCCCCGCAAACTGAAGTGACCACTGACTGATGTGCCGAAGCAGAACCCAACAGGAATTCACCTGTTTCCTCACTTAGTTTTAAAGGGATGAGGACCTTTTTTTTAATGTGTCCAGCATTTCTGTTCCGCGTGGGGACCTGTACTATGCATCCCTTAAAGAGGTCAGAAAGATTCCAGATTGTATTGCGTATCAAGACAGATAAGGGTTGATCCGCTCAATTTTTAATAAACACATATGATGGTTTTGACTGAAGCACGCGAAGGAGCACTTATTCCTCAAAAATCTCATCTCTGGATTGTCTGTTATTAGCACATTCCTTCAGCAAGTGGTAATTTACATTGATCACTATGTGTATGGTATAAATATAATAAAGTTCTGAAAAGCTTTGCTCATATTTGTTCAACTCAACACACAGGTTCAGGCCACAGTCTGATTTTAGGGTGACTTACAAATTGTCTACCTATATATCCCCTTACATTTGTAGTTGTGAACCAGAGAACTGCCTGTTGCCTCTCACATATTGTCTTCTGAAACATTTGAACTCTCTGAGCCTCCTGTTCTCAGTTTTAAACGCTCCTCCAGATAAAGTAGTTTCCACTTCCTCTTTTCTTCTTGGTGTTTCAGTGTTGACTTTGCAGAAGTCTGCTACGTTCACTGTACCAGGCTAAACAGATTCTGGTGTAAAACACATCCTTATGCTCCAGAATGTAACCGGTTGCTTTTCTAGACTGATTCAAGAGCAGTGACATCTTTTATATATTGTGGTGATAAAAAGAGTACACAATATTCCAAGGCCTTACTAATGCATTATACTAATTTAAAGGGGAAACACAAAGCTATTTTTATATTTCAGGGTTATAATCATCATTATTGATGAGTGCATTTCAAATATAATAAATGTAAAATATTCACATTAACTTGTAAAACAATTTAAATCACAAAATAGATGAAAGCTCCAGGTATGTGCAAAACCCTGTTCTGCGATTCAGAATGCGCCAACAAAACAAAACTTCTAGTAAAGCGATGTGGCCTTATTACATTGTAAACAAGAAGAGTCATGGATACATCTCTTCTAATCCAATAGAAATGGTGCTCTCGATTTCAAAACAGTTTTGCGGACAAATGCTACTTATTTGTTAACTCTGCATGCAGATCACGCTGGAACATCTGCGGTGAAATTTCTGCTGCACATCCTGTGCTTATTAGCTTATTCATTACATTAGTCATGACAGTGACTAGGGAGCAGGAAGGGCCACATTACATCAAATTTGAGTTAGTGACAGCATGGTGATTTACAGTACTTTCACGATTTTGTGCTTAATTTGAAAAGTGTACAGTTTTTATATGAATGTATTTTATTTCCAAGATTTAATAACCAGTAACTGGTAGATTAACTTTTAACAGTAATCTTAATTATCTGCTATAATTAGCAAATTTGACTAGTTTATTAACTATGCAAAAATCTAGATCATTAATATACAGTAAATTAGGAAGAGAAGGGGTCCTTTCACAGATGATGATCCCTGTGACAATTCACTTATTATATCAACTCATTTTGCACATTCGTCACTTAGTTATATTTTGTTTTCTATTTATTAACCAATTTTCAATACAAACACATATTTTTCTAAATTCATACTGGCTGTAGTTTGAGAATTCATGTTTTATTAGGAAATACATCCAAAGCCTTCTGTAAATCTGAATTACCATTTTACATGCTCTACATTTATCCATTACTGTTGTGGTTTGTTCATAAAACGCTTGACACCTTGGTTAAGCAAAACCTTATTCTCTTATTCTACACCAGTGTTGATACACAAATTGTACTATATGCAGTGCAAAGACTTTCAGATGCTGAACATTTAAGATCTTTTTTGTCTGTGAGAGAAATCATTTCAGGAAATGCATGGATTTTGATGTGACTTTTGTGAGAATACCTGCTTGTTTGCTGTAAATATTAAGATTAGAACTACCTTCTCCTGTTGATCAAATCACACAGTTATTTTTAAAGTGCTTGTTTTCCCATTCATGTACAACACCATTCTAGAATTCAGGAACTGTAGTGGACATTAATGACTTTATTGTTTGGGAATGCCAATCATTTAACAGAAAAAAATACTGAGTTTATCTTCTGCTGGGAAAATATTTCTGAAGGATACATCAAATTTTGAATTTGTAGAGTAGGCAATGTTTGGGAATTGAAGGCTTAGTGTCCAGTCCAAAGGCAGATTTGCAGTTTCAGTGGAGTTACAATTGCCATGTGACAGTCCTATTAATATTTAATTCTGTTATTCTGGAGTACAAGACCAAATCAGTGGATGAGTTTCTTGAAGATTGGAGTTCGCACTGTAATCATAGCCTGTATCCTACTTTAACAACCACGGACAAATTCTCGTCTTGCTAGCCAGCCCACGTGCTGCAGTTCGCAATGCACGGCAAATTGACATTTACAGAAATTAAACTAAATCTCTTACAATCAAGGGATAAGGATTCTTACCATTTTAGTGCCATCTTGGCGTATTCACAAAAGCAGTCCAGGCTGGAAGGATAGTGCTCTTATCAATTTCCTCCAGTATGTGCAAACTGTCACAACTCCACAGAACAGATATAATTACAGATCCCACAGGACATGTTCAGCTTGTGTGGGAATTATGGGAATTAAAACAGAGCCCAAAGACAACTAACCAGCTACCGCATCCTAGTCAGGAAGAAATGCAAATTGGCATTAAGGAGACGTTTATACATTTCCTGTTTCAGTTGTAGAGTGCACAAGATACAAGTAGTACTTGATTCACGAAGAATACAGTAATTCGGATAAGAAGGATATAATGGAACACTTCCTTAAATAAAGGAAATAAGGCATCTGGGATTCTAGAATTACATAAAAAAAGAATAAAAATGTTATTTATAGATAAAGTGCTGTGAGTCACTAGTTGGTAATGACTCAATACTTAACTGAATTAATACATTTTACATTGTCCACCCTCCAGTTTCAGGGGCCAAACAAAAACCAGAAAATTCTCAATAGAAGATATTATTATTTCTTGTGTGTGTGACAGTTTTTTAGTATAAGTAAAATAAGCTCAGACACGTGTGTGCCAAATCTTCATCGCAGCTTTGGTTTTTTGGTAGCTCTTTGAAGTGACAGCAAGGATTGCAAACTGTATTAATATTCAACAGCAAACCTCTACCACATGTTTTTAAAGGAGGCCATATGTCACACGGTAGCACAGCTGCAGTCTTCTACTTGAAAGGAACTTAGCTGAGAGAGCTCTGCTGGGACCTTATTGACAGCTGTCAATAAATATGCAAATAGCCGACTAACCCAGGCTGCAAGTGAACCGAAGCCTGGCAAGTGAAAAAAAAAAAATTGAAGTGAGCAAAACTGTGAAGCCTCTCCTCCATTCTGCGCTCAGTCTCCTGCCACTCCTAATGGTTTGTTTCTAAAAATAATGTTTAGACACACAAAAGAATTGCACTTGCTGTAATGAGGTACTACCAATAAAAGTGTGTTGAAGTAGTTATTAGCTTTGTCATTTGTAAATTACAGTGCTCAAAGCACAGACATCAAGAGCTCCAACAGTCATTCACAAGGGGCAGTCAGGTATGTGTACTTCTTTGACAGTACAGTTTCTTTTCTACTCGGGGGTCCTCTCTGCAGGTGGAAGTGGAAGCTGTAGTAGAAATGAAAAACTGGAGACACCCACACCAACTGTGACTCCGAGTCAGACAAAAACTAGAAACTTCAGAAGCCCTCACAAGGGAAAACACTGCTTAAGGACGTATGGGAGAAGCACCCCAGCAAAAGTTCCAATACCCCATGTTTTTTAAAGAAATGTCTGTAATTCTTGGATCAATTACCTACTAACTACCAAACAGACAAGATGGGCTGAATGGCATCCTCTCTTTTGTTCTTATGTTCTTAAATACAGGTTTTACAGTGTCTAATTTGTTCCCAAGGTGAGAATAAGTGGCAACAAACACCTCCCTTCAATTTGCCAACAGAAAATAGCCTTCAAAACTGTGTCCTAATTCTGTTAGCATGGTGTGAATGTTTCTTTCTGAGGCCTCTGCCTGTAGATTTCTTTTTATTTCTGGAGATATTTGTATGAAGGTTTCTAATCCTCAAGTCGTGAAGAAACCCTGAAGACTGCAGTGGCTATGTTGAAGAGCAACTGGGTCTTTTCTTTATGCAGGAGCCTGTTTCACTAATAGAACACCAGACAATAAATACATCCAGGTGTTATATATGGAAATCTGGGTCATTTCGGGAGAAAATGTCATTTTCTCATGATGTCTCATGATGTTTGCTACTTGAACTTTTTGCTTTTGGAATCTTTTGATCATTTTTACTTGTTCAGTTATTAAAAATGAAGTTATGTTTAAAGTTTATTTAATTTCATTCTTAAGCTTACCCTGATTACTTATTAGTTTAGTTCTTTGAAAAAGAACGGTGTCATATTTTTGCATTAGTTTTCTTTGATGTACATACTGTGAAGCATCTTATATATCCTCACGTTTGGCACACTTTTCTGTTTTGCTTTTTGTCTTCCACAAATACAGGGCTTTCTTTCTTCTTTATGCCCAGTCTAATTAGTGAGTGTGTGATTTGATAACATTGTTAGCTAAGCATTGCTTCGGCTGCATCTATCAACTGTTCTTTAGCCATCCCAGATTGCTGGCATGTACTTGACAGATATGAATAAACAAACCCAATCGTTCAAGCGCTGTTGTCATTCTTAAGCTCTGGACAGAAGATTCTGAAACAATAGGAGCCACCATTGATGTTTAATAGTTTAGCTTCTGCCAAATTAAATGATTAACACTACAAGAGACTTAAAAGAGGATGGGGATGATATAGGGGAACCAAGTTTTCTTTCTTTCAAGGTTAAGTTATGTACAAAAAATCAACTACCTCACCCAATCCTAGATATCAGAAATGTTAATTTACTGTGCAGTGTGCCACCCCTTTCTGTAATCAAGGCATGTA